GATTGGGCGCCAAATGCCGTCTTGGTTTTGGCTCAAAACTGCTCCTGTTGCCCCTTCCGAAGCATCGGCTTCCAGACGATATTGGCCAGTGTCATTTGGCAGTGCTAGGACCGCATCCTCTGCGATTCTCTTCTTCAACCCATCAAATGCTGCACGCTCATCTGCACCCCATGCCCATCCTGCCTTCCCTGTCAACCGTGTCAATGGTTTGGCAATCTCCGCATATCCCCGAACAAAGCGTCGATAGAAGTTGGTGAACCCTAGGAAGGCTTGTACTTGTTTGACGCTCTTTGGTTCTGGCCATTCCATCACGCCCTTAATCTTGACTGGGTCCATCCGCATCGAATTGTGTCCAATAATCACACCCAAATATTCGATTTCCGTGCGTTCGAACTCGCACTTTTCGGGTTTCAGGTACAGCTTGTGTTTTTGGAGCAGTTCGAGTACTCGTTTCGTGATCCGCCGATGTTCGTCCAAGTTCTCTGTGAAGATCAGTATATCATCAAGATAGACTACCACGTGGCCCTCGTTGATCAGTTCTCGGAGTATGTCATTCATCATGTTTTGGAAGGTTGCCGGGGAGTTTGTGAGACCGAAGAACATGACCAAGGGCTCGTACAGTCCGCGGTTCGTGCGGAACGCAGCCTTCCACTCGTCGCCCTCTTTGATCCGTACGTTATTGTATCCCCACCGGATGTCGAGCTTGGTGAAGAACTTTGCACCGCATAGATTATGGACCAGTTCAGAGATCAGCGGCAGCGGGTACCGATTTCGGATTGTCATTTCGTTCAGCTTCCGATAATCTTGGACGGGGCGTAGCGAGCCATCCTTCTTTTTGACAAAGAAGAACGCTGATGCCATGGGTGATTTGGAAGGCCTGATCCGTCCGCTGGCCAGGTTCTCTTGTAAGAACTCGTCGAGTTTGACCTGTTTGTTTCGTGATAACGGGTACACCTTGCAGTCCACTGCTTTGGAACCAGGTTTGAGCTCGATTGCATGGTCCCATGCCCGTCGGTCTGGCAGCGAGTCGAACGATTCCTTGGCGAATACTTTGACAAATTCCCGATATTGATCCGGAATCTTCCCCTCGGTCATCCTCTCCTTCTCTTTTTCCGCTTCTTCTGCGAATTTCTGTGCCGGCGTTTCCTTCAACCGTAGATCCACCTCCTTCCCAAAGTCGATCAACAGGATTGACTCTCCCTCTTCCAGATCCGGTGCACCTGCGTCCAGGTCAATCGCATCCATGTCGATCATTGCTTGATGCTCCTCGTGACCCCTCATGTGACACCGCTCTGGGCATCGACTGAACCTCATCGTCTGCTCCTGCCAATCCACCTCGGGGTTGTGTTCCGTCAGCCAATCAAGACCGATGAAGATCCGAGCTTTCCCTAAACACGTCAGAAGGAACGTGCGTGTCTCCACGTGAGGACCGATTCTCATCCTTAGGTCGACGTAATGCGTGATCCGACCGCTGATGTTCTCGGTGTTGTCGGCGTTACGAGCCACAATGGGTTGGGGAAGTTCTTGGATATCCAGCTTCTCTGCCCGCGCGTAGTCGGTATCAATGCAGCAGGTGCTACAGCCACTATCGAGTAGCGCCTTGACTCCGCGCGTCTTTCCTGAGTCCAGGCCCGTGATCTGGACATATACGTCCATCGAATGTCTCTTCCTTTCGGCCTGGTAGTTGCGCAGTTCCTGCACCAGTCTGCTGGGTTGCGGGCCCTTCTGTTTCTCGGCTGCCCATTTCCTTTGAACGGCATCCGGCACCCTCGTGCGTTTGGGTGCTTCTGGAATCCTGATTTCGGCAGATTCCTTAGGCGCTTCCTCCTTTTTCAAGGATTGAGCCTCCGGAGCGATGCTCCCCTTTTCGGTCTTTGTTGACGTGGTTCCTTCTCCGCGAGCCATAAATACGTAGGAGTCCAAAATTAATTTATCTGCAGCCTTCTGATCCTTTTTACTTTGTAAATACTCTCTATTTAAAGCTATTTTCTTTTGACGTTCCTTTTCCATATCAGCAACAAGAAAATCATGAATATTAGTACGTAGGGAGTCTGAGATCGTGTATGCATGAGGAGAATCGTTCATATCTCTAATCGAAACAAGTATAGAAAAACGTCCATAGTCCGGACGCTCCACCTCCTTGGCTAGAGGAGTGGAGCGCTTCAAAAACCCTTCTCGCGCAGCTTCTCAGCGATCTCCTTGAGGAACTCGTTGTCCTTGTCCCCGTTCTCGATCTCTTCCAGCATCGTGGCCCGATTGAAGAATGTGCGCTTCTTCCTTGGCTCCGGACAGTTCCGCGCAATGTGCCCAGGCTGCTGACAGTTGTAGCAGATGATATTGCGGCCGCGGGCGTGGGTGCGATCGATTTCCATCGGAACTGGTTCGTTGGCAGCGGGTCGGGCCGGGGCGGGTGCAGGTGTCATTGGGGCTGCCTGCGGGCGGAATTGGGGAGGCGGTCGTGGTGCGGATTGCGCATGCGATGCTTTGCGCAGCTGATTGCGTAGAGCGTTCGCCTCGATGTTGACACACCAGTTCTTGAAGGCACCATATGCCTTGGGCAGGGGGACGCCAGTGTTGTAGAGGCGGCTTGCAATTTCGCTGCTGAGTCCGCGCTCCAGGAACTCGATGAGGATATTGTCCTGTTCCCCCTTCTTGTACTCGCCCTTGCTGTCGGTGGAGGTGACCACGTTGTACCCCGCGTCTGCAGCCAGCATTTCGAAGTCGGAGATGTAGTCCGCAAAGGACCGTCTGCCCTGGCGAAGGGCCATGAGTCGGGCGGCAGCGACTTGCTCTGCGTTAGAATCCCCAAAGGCCCTCTGAAGCTCCTCCAAGAAGCTTGTCGCGGTGACTCCCGCCTTTAGTCCTTGGAAGCCCTCGAAATTGTGCTGCTTCCAGTTCATCGCCCATCTTGAGGCGGCGCAGCTTGTGCCGCTCTCATTGCGGAGGTAGGACAGGACGAAGAGGATTTTCGTCTCGTCCAGCGAGAACTCTGACCAATAGGCACCGATGTAAGTGGTGCACGCGTCCACAAAGCCCAGGTACTTGGACTTGTCGCCATCGAAGTAGGGGGGATTGGCGGCGAGGGTGATGCGGTGATGTCCTGACATGGTAGGAGCAGGTGCGGTAGGTGGGGGTGAGGGTGGTTGTTCGGAGGGTAACTCGTCAAGGTCGGGGAACTCGTCTTCAGGTAGCGGAAGGGCGAGGTAGGGGTTGGAGGGCCCGGGTTGGTTTTGATGCGCCAGATCGGGCGACGATGGTATGATGGGGGGAGGGGATGGACTCCCAGATGACGATGGGAATCGGTACGAAATGGTGAATTCGTGTGCTGTACAAGCACTCGAGGAAAGGTTCTTTTGCTAGCAAAAAGATCCCGGGCCTAGCTCTTCACGTGCCCGATGATCCCGAGGTGCGTTGGGACAGCGGGGGGCGAGGGAATCGGAGTGTGGCGATGCTCTGATAGGCGCGTGCGATGGCGGCGGAGAACAACGATCTGAGCTATCTACGGAACAATCGGCTTGACTATAGATCCGATCAGCACAGCCACCGATCACCCTTCCTTGCCCACCGACACATGTGCCCCCCCTCCTCGTGGCGACGTCCCGACGCCAATCACCCCTCTCGCTGCCAAGTACGCGTTGTGGATATATTCCAGATCCGATCCCTTCTTCGGCACAAACCGTCTCAAACGCCTCGCATTGAACAGCCCCGTCACCGCGACACCACCCATCGTCTCCAACTCGTAGGAGTTCAGCAATTTCTTCCTGACCCGATACGGCGCACCCCACGCAAACGCCAGCTTCTTGGCAGCTGCCATCGTCGTTTCCAATTTCCCCCTGTTCACCTGCACTAGCTCGCCTGGTTCGAAGACGACTTCACCCGGTTTGCGCCCCACCAGCCTCTTGTCGAACGCTCGTTTCCGCCCCATCGCGTATCGGACGCGCTCCGCATAACCGTCCAGCCTCGCCTGTGCTGTCATCGCCATGTTCAGCTCCACGTCATCTTCCGAGAGGGATCGTTCCGCGTCTGTAACCGGTACTTTCAGTGAGTCAACTATTGTTCCGAAGAGCAGCTCTTTAGGCGAGAACTTAACCGTGGGCAGGATCCTCCAGTTGAGGATATGCACCGCCCGTTCCAGCATCTCCGGCCAGGCCCTTGGAAGTCTGTCCCACGCCAGCTCGTCAAATGCGTCAACGCCTACGTCCGGCCCACACAGCCGCGCAAGAACGAAGAGGAGAAGTCGGTTGGTGCCCTCTACGAGGCCGTTGATCCAGGGGGCATAGGCGGCGATGACATGGTGTGTGGCCCCCCACTTCGCGCAGAAGTCCCGTACCTGCTGATTGTCGAAATGTGAGCCACCGTCGGACATAAACGTCCCGGACGGAATGTAGTCCGTGAAGATCCTGTGTAATGCATCGGTTGTCGTCTTCGCCGTGCCGTGCGACTTGAATTTGAACGCCCAGACGTGTTGTGAGAACGTGTCCACAAACAACGCTACCGTGTGGAACCCTCCTTTCCCGTCCGGTAATTTGAGGTAGTCCCCTACGAGGAGCTCGAACGGCTGCCGGCGTGTGACTGGTTCTAGCTTTGCGTGCATGTGTTTTGGCCCAAACGCTTTGCAACGGCCGCAGTCTGCGATCGCCTCCAAGATCGACGCGTCCAGCCCCGGGCTATGGAAACGGTCCATCAGTGCAATTTTCACGGCGTCACGCCCAAAATGGCCATGCTCAGCGTGGATCTCTGCGGCCTTGTCAACCGCCTCCTTCCTAGTGATGCACTCCCTCCGGGATCGCGCTCTGATGCTGCTGCCACCTCCGAGAACCCACAGCTTGCCGTCCTGCACAAAGTATTTGCTCGCTCGATGCCTTGCTCGTTTCCGTGTGTCGGACGATGCGTGTCCGTCCAACTCGAGGATCGCGTCCAAGACTTCGAGGAATAGTGGTTCGCTGGACAGGCGTGTTCGTAGGGCCGCTGCGCCCTCGGGCAGCATCATGACGGCGACCCCTTGGCTCTGGCTCGTATCCCCCGAGGTCTGGCATGCACCGCTAACAATATCAATTGCGAAGAGGTCGTTGACAACACCAGCTCTGCCGTCCCAGTCCGGTGCCACGGACCACCCACTGCCGTCTCCATCCACCCGGTGCTTGCCTTCATACTGTCGGCTGATCAGGTCCGCTGCCACGTTAGTGCTACCCTTGATGTGTTTCACAGCAACGATATTGTGGCCGAAGATGCCCTCCTGCCACCGCGTATGTGATGCACTCAGCTTCCCGCCTGCCAACACGTCGCGGATCGCACGGCAGTCCGTTTCTACGACAACCGGGAACCCGTATACAATGTCGTCAAATTGGTCGAAGCCGAACTTCATGGCCGCCAGCTCCAGGACGTGTGGGGCATACCGCGACTCGGCGTTTGAGGTGCGTTTGGATGCAAACCCAATCGGGAAGCGGCGAATGACTTGTTTCCCGCCCGGAAGGGAGACTTCCATCTCCTGCGCGAGGACACCTCCAAACCCTTCCTTGCACCCGTCCGTTGTGATGATGAAGGGGAATTTGTCCGTGTTCTCGAAGCGCGGCGCTCTGAGAACCGGCCCGGAGGTAAGCAGTGTTTTTAGGCGCAAGAAGCAGCGTGTGTGCTCATCCGTCCACAGATGAGCAAGCTTCTGACTCCGCATGATCTCTCGGAAGATGCGTTTGCTCGCGCCCGAAGGAACTAGGCTCGAAAGCAGGTCGCGTAATGGCTTTTCTTCGGCTGAGTATCCTCGAATCAAATCTCGAAAGTAGCCCGTTAACCCCAAGAATGAGTGCAGGTCGGCCGCGGTCTCTGGTTGGCGCCATTGGATGATTGTGGTCAATTTGCGGAGGTCTGGCGAGACGCCTTGTGGTCCCACTGTCGATCCGGCAAAGACAGCTTCCGTCATACAAAGCCTAGTCTTCGATGGCGACAGCGAGAGGCTTGACTCGCGTATGCGTTGGAAGATGATACGTAGCCGTTGTATCATGTCAGCAAATGAATCCGCAGCCGTGCCTCCATCATCGACAAATATCTCCATTACCATGGAGGATGTCAGGTCGTGCACCTTCTCTGCCACCGTGTCGCCAAACTCGGTCGGACAGTCCGTTGCTCCGAACGGCATGCGCGTGTATGCGTGGTATCCTCGGCCAGGAACAAAGATGCACAGGTAAGGTTGGGCTGTCTCCTCAACCTCTAGGGCAAAGAACCCGGACGCGAAGTCGAACGTGGATACATATCGGTGGCCGGCCAGCCGGCGTTGCTTGTCTCGGATATCTCCTTGTGGGAACGGGACAACTTTGCAGACCCTGTTGATCTCGGCGAAGTTGTGGCAGACTCGCCAACGAACTGGCTTCCCACGTCGGCTGGTGTTGTCCTGCGCCTGTCGGGCAGGAAGTCCTTCTAGCGAGGGTAATCCCGCGTCAACGCACTGGTCGTTTAACTGATGCAGCAACTCCGTCAAGCAGATACCATCTGGTTGGTCCTTCGGCGCCATTGTGATTGGGCTCACACACCGAACGTCCTTGGCATCAATGCGTCTGAGGATGCCAGCAGCAACTAATTCGTCGACTTGCTTCGTAAGGAACGCAAGTTGCGGCGGCGACATCGGGCGCTGATTCACGGTCTTGGTGCCAAAGTCGTGGCCTTCGGGGATTTTCGGGGAGTATTTCCGACCGGGCACTGCTTTCACTTCGCTGACCGCCAGCGCAAAGATGTCCGCGTACTCCTTAACCAGTGCACGGGCGGTCTCCCTTTCTGTTGTGGACACATCCGGCCCAATCTCGACAAGTTCGACGATTTTCTGGACCCTCTCTGTCATGAATGGGTTTGTGAGGCGTGTGAACAGGGTCTTTTCATCCAGGCTCGCTTCGAGCACAAATGCATCAGCACTGCTCACAGGGGTTATGGTTGGTGGGACTCGCCTCGCGGGGGTGACCGCGTACGACTCGACCCCCTCGAAGGCCACATGCGTCTCAGACACGGGCAGGTTTGCGTAGCACTCTTCGTTTCCTTCTCGCCTATTGCGCCCTTCGCCGTTGCCATGGATAGGGTAATCAGCTATCCACCAACGCGGAAGGATATCAAGCAAGACTCGCCTCGCGGGGGAGATTGCGGACAAGTCATCCCCCGTTGCGGCTAGCCGCGGTGCCATGGGCTCTCCTCTCTCCTCTGCTTTCCCGCCCCTCGTCTCTATACCCACATCCCTGGTTCCAGCATCATTCATGGCTTCTAGACCAGCGTCCCCGTTCACGTTCTCTTCCTCGTAAAGGTTGTCAGCTGCCCTCAAACGCAATGAGCAAGCAGCTTGTACTCCCCTCGCGGGGGTGGCTGCGCACAACTCTACCCCCTCTGGGGTTTCACGGCCCGTTGCCAGGTGTGTCTTGCCCTGCGTGGCGCTCTCCGTCGGGTTAATCCCTCCTTGCCGGTTTCCAGGGTCCATGTCGTGTGTTCCTGTTGACTCTGCATCAACAAGTTGGGGGTCTAGCACGGGGTCTACTCGCCTCGGGGGGGAGGTTGCAGACAACTCATCCCCCACAGAGGCTTCTCGCCCCAATCCCCGGTGTCCTCCTTTAGGTGCATCTCGTGTAGGTCGACATGCACTCGATTCGTTGAACAGCAGTGATCTGCTCGCCCCATCGGACACCGTGACAGTGTCCTTTCGAAAGTCCTGAACCGCCCGCAGCGCCCGCAGAATGGGTTTCCCGAGCAGGATGGTCCAGGCCCCTCCCGAGTCGATCACTTCGAACTCCGCTCGAACTTTGATACCGCCAACGTCAACGGTTCCTTCCCAGTGTGCAGACGACGATATTGTGGTGCCATTTGCCATCCTTAGCCGCTTCTGTGGCTTGGACACGTTGCCCAGCCTGTGTCTCCGCGCCGCAAACCACGTGCTGTCCAGTACTCCCGATCCAGCCGCCCCGTCAAAGAGCGCCGTGCCACGCACACGCTCGCCGTTAGGGCCCTCCATAGATATTGTGTGTTTGAATAGGGGTTGGTCGTTCTCAGGCTCGTCCACAGTAAACAGGTCGACAGTTTCAAGTTCAAGAGATTGCAATACATTAGTGTCGACTGTATGCTGGTGACCCTCCGGCACGTCCAATTGGCCAGAGTATGGGGCCGATGCATCGCCTATTGCGTCAGCCCCGCCTGAAAATCCCGGAGGTCCTCCTCCGTCGGCGTCCCAATTGAAGTCCAATCAACTACGTTCACGGGCACTGGGGCTGGCCCGGCGCGTGTCTGGCCCAGCCATGTGTGGCAGAGGTACCGGAACCGGCGCTCGTCGCTAGGGACAAACGGCGCCGTGCACTCCCCACCTCCATGACGGGGGTACCCGCACTTCCAGCATTCGCGGCTGCATGGTGCCTGCGTTCCAGGGGCGAGCGGGTATCCGGTTTCCCAAAGGTGTTGGTTGCCGGCTAGTCGTGCAGCGTCGTGCTGAGTCGCCCATGCAGCTCGTTGCTGGTTGTACGTGGCCCGTCCTTGCGGAGTGTCCGGTTGTGCGAGTGAAATACACTTCTCGCGAGCCGCCCTGATTTGCGCGACCTCTTCTGTCGTCGGGGTGTAGTCTCTTTCGAATTGCGCCTGACGGGGTCGGTCTTGCTGGGTCACGTTCGGTGGTCGGCTGGTTGCCGGGGGGACGTGCGCCGGCTTGGAAGCTACGGCGGCAGTCGCGTGGGACGTCGGAGACAACCGGAAGGCGCTAAAGCTGCGCGTCAAGTCGTTGACATTGGCTTTGAGGAGTTGTTGTTCTCGCAATGTGTTGGCCGCGGCCCGGTAACCTTCTGCGAGTTCGTGGATGTCCGAGTTAGCGATTGCCCGGATCTGTGCGGCCACGCCTGCCCAGCTCGTCGGATCTGGCGTAAGGGCCTTTACGATTATGCTTGGTTGGTTCTCCTTCCACAGCGGGTACCCAGCGAGTGTGCCTTTGACTTTTGCCTGCATGGCCAAGTCCTCCACCTGGTTCGCAAAGTCCTCTTGGACGTAGACTTCCACCTCCCCTCTCTTCACCGTCTCCGCGGCAAGCTCTGCCACCGTGATCCTCGTTTTCAGGAGCTCCGCCTCATAAGAAGCGGCGGTGCGACGAATCGGCTTGAGGCCCGGAAATGTGGTTGCGAGCTCGCCCAGGTACGCATCGAGGGACGCGCGTGCCGGCGACGTTGCTGCCAAGCCGAGCATGTGGTCTTCTGCCGGACTATCTGGTTTCAGATGGTAGTTGACAGCGCGTATCTGTTCGTCGGTTGTCGCGTATTGGCGGTCGGCGACCATTTGGCGGACTGCACGGACCCAATCGGCAGTGAGCATGTTCGTACCGTCTCGGCGACCGGAGAATGGCGTGACGTCGGCTGAGGGCATGGGTATAGCTGGGCGTGGTCGAGGGATCTGTTGTGACGTGGTCGACGTCGGCGGGGTTATTAGATGGGACAGTTTAAAGGTGGCCGGCGGGCCAGTCGGGCTTGAAGTCGTGCTTGGGTTGCTGAGCTCTGTCAGCGGCGAAGTGGTGTAAAACAGAGAGGGCTCAGATGCGCTACGCTGCCGCTGTCTCGGTTGACGACGAGTGGGCGGGTAGGACGCTAGGTCAATGGCGCCCAGAAGACCGTGGGAACGAGTGGAGAACGGTATTTTCGGAACAGTAAGCGACGTGGGCACAGGGGACGTGGGCACAAGGGCGACGTAGGCGACGTATGCAGAATGAAAAAGACTTTTTTTCCGAGGATCGACAGTCGATCGCACTAATCCGTGGACGGGTACGAACCGCACTCCAATCACCACGATGGGACAGCGGGGGGCGAGGGAATCGGAGTGTGGCGATGCTCTGATAGGCGCGTGCGATGGCGGCGGAGAACAACGATCTGAGCTATCTACGGAACAATCGGCTTGACTATAGATCCGATCAGCACAGCCACCGATCACCCTTCCTTGCCCACCGACACAGCGTTTTCCCGAAGGTCTCCGCAGCACTCCTTGTAGCTACCGTAAGGCTTGGGTCGGGCTCAACGTTACCCGTGGCCTGGTGCTGTTTGCTCGATATGAACCCTTCACTGCGATAGTGGAGGACGACTAGATGATTCGGTAAAAGGGTAAGTTGGTTGATAAGGGTTAAGAGGATATAGCGGGCGTAGCGGTGCGGGATGCAGGGTAAGAGGTATGAGGTAGGAGGGTATGAGGGGAGTCTTCGAATTATGTGACAATCAACCCAAAAATGAAGTCGAAAAGAGAAGTGAATTCGAAGACTGGAGAATACAACCAAGTAGCTACAGTATTTATACCCAAGTCCAGTCTGAGTCATATCTACAACTAATGAGTCATAAGGCTACGTACCGCATGGAACACTGGTCATGGGTTGTAATAGAACCTTCCAGAGCATATGTCGCGCAGCCTTGAATCGATAAGGATAATCCCTCGAACCCCTAGCCCGGGCCGTCTGATGCCGTGATCCGTGAAAAGATAAGCCGTGCCGAGATAAGATAAGATCGTCGAAGATAAGATGAAAAAGTGGCCGAACTATGACACCATCCCTTCCATTTGACCAAGTATTGTTTTCCTCAGCCAACATTTTGCTCTTTCACGATTTCTTCAACTTCCCACTCCTCTGCTCCTCCGATCATCTTGGCTATGGGTCTCTTCTCTTGGCAATGGGGGGTGGTTCATGATAGGGTGTCAACAGTGACTCGTTGAGCACTGGGTGTCTTTGGCTCATGTCTGGCAAATCCAGCTTCCATGCAGCAGCTGCTCCAACCTTATCAAATATCTTGTATGGTCCCAGTCTCTTGTCGATCATCTTCTTGAATGGTCTATCCATCTTGATATTGTCCCTTTCTATGTACACCTTCATCCCCACTTTCAACTCCGGAACTTATTTTCTTTGTTTATTGTAGTATTTTTTCATTTTTTGATTTGCTTTTTCCAGTGCTGCATTTGCTTTGTCTTGTATTTCTTTGATTCTTTTTACAAACTCTTCTGCTGACTCGTTTCTCAATTCCATCCGCTGCTCCACTCTCTTCCATGAGTGATATCCGTGATTTGCATAGAATGGTGATATTTTGGTTGACCTGTTCATTTTGTTGCTATATGTGAACTGTCATAGTTCGGCCACTTTTTCATCTTACCATCAACAATCTTATCTTATCTTGGCACAGATTATCTTATCACAGATCACGGCATCTGACGGTCCGGGCTAGGGGTCCAGGAGATCATCTTTATTGATTTAAGGCTGCGCAACATATGCTCCAGAAGGTTCTACTACAACCCATGACCAGTGCTCCATGCGGTACATAGCCTTATGACTCATTAGTTGTAGATATGACTCAGACTGGATTTGGGTATAAATACTGTAGCTACTTGGTTGTATTCTCCATTCTTCGAATTCACTTCTCTTGTTGACATTATTTCTTGTTGATTGTCACATAATTTGAAGACTCCCCTCATACCCTTCTACCTCATACCTCTTACCACTGCATCCCTCACTGCTACGCCTGCTATATCCTCTTAACCCTTATCCACCAACTCACCTTTTTACTGAATGATCTAGTCAATCCCTGCGATTGCAGTGAAGGGTTTATCTCAAGCAAACAGCACAAGGCCACAGGTAGCATTGAGCCCAACCCAAGCCGTACGGTAGCTGCAAGGAGTGCTGCAGAGACCTTCGGGAAAACACACCTCGGGATCATTGGGCACATGAAGAGCAAGGCCCGGGATCTTTTTGCTAGCAAAAGAACCTTTCCTCAAGTGCTTGTACAGCACACAAATCCACCATTTCGTACCAATTCCCATCGTTGTCTGGGAGTCCATCCCCTCCCCCCACCGTACCATCGTCGCCCGATCTGGCGCATCAAAACAAACCCGGGCCCTCCAACCCCTATCTTGCCCTCCCGCTGCCTGAAGACGAGATCCCGGACCTCGATGAGCTGCCCTCCGAACAACCACCCTCACCCCCACCTACCACACCTGCTCGTACCATGTCAGGACACCACCGCATCACCCTCGCCGCCAACCCTCCCTATTTCAATGGGGACAAATCTAAATATCTGGGCTTCGTAGACTCATGCACCACCTACATTGGTGCCTACCAATCAGAGTTCTTGCAGGATGAGACCAAAATCCTCTTCGTCCTCTCCTACCTCTGCAACGAGAGCGGCACGAGCTGCGCTGCCTCAAGATGGGCGATGAACTGGAAGCAGCACAACTTTGATGGCTTCCAGGGACTGAAGGCAGGAGTCACATCAAAGAATTTCCTGGAGGAGCTTCAGAGGGCCTTTGGGGACTCCAATGCGGAACAAGTCACCGCTGCTCAACTCATGGCCCTGCGCCAGAACAAACGGTCCTTCGCGGACTACATCTCCAACTTTGAGATGTTGGCATCGGATGCGGGATACAATGTGGTCGACACCACCGACGACAAGGGCGAATACAAGAAGGGAGACCAAGACAATATCCTCATCGAGTTCCTGGAGCGCGGACTCAGTAGTGAGATTGCCAGCTGTCTCTACAACACGGGTGTCCCTCTGCCCAAGGCCTATGGGGTGTTCAAAGCCTGGTGCATCAACATCGAAGCCAATGCTCTAAGCGACCAGCTACGCAAGGCATCCTACGGACATCCCACACCACGACCACCTCCCCAGTTCCACCCGCAGGCTATCCTGACAATGCCTGCACCCGCACCAGCCCGACCTGCTGCCAACGAACCGGTTCCGATGGAAATCGATTGCACCCACGCCCGCAGCCGCAATATCATCTGCTACAACTGTCAGCAGCCTGGGCACATCACGCGGAACTGTCCAGAGCCAAGGAAGAAGCGCACTTTCTTCAATCGGGCCATGATGCTGGAAGAGATCGAGAACGGGGACAAGGACAACAAGTTCCTCAAGGAGATCGCTGAGAAGCTGCGCAAGAAGGGTTTTTGAAGCGCTCCACTCCTCTAGCCAAGGAGGTGGAGCGTCCGGACTATGGACAATTATCTGTACTTGTTTCGATTAAAGACATGAACAATTCTGCACATACATACACAATCTCGGACTCACTACGTACTAATATTCACGATTTTCTAATTGCCAATATGGAAAAGGAACACCAAAGAAAAATAGCTTTAAATAGAGAGTATTTACAAAGTAAAAAGGATCAGAAGGCTGCAGATAAATTAATTTTGGACTCCTACGTATTTATGGCTCGCGGAGAAGGAACCACGTCAACAAAGACCGAAAAGGGGAGCATCGCTCCGAAGGCTCAATCCTTGGAAAAGGAGGAAGCGCCTAAGGAATCTGCTGAAATCAAGGTTCCAGAAGCACCCAAACGCACCAGGGTGCCAGATGCCGTCCAGAGGAAATTGGCGGCCGAGAAACAGAAGGGCCCCCAGCCCGGCAGGTTGGCACAGGAATTGCGCAGTTACCGGGCCGAAAGGAAGAGGCATTTGATGGACGTATATGTCCAGATCACGGGTCTGGACTCAGGGAAAACCCGCGGAGTCAAGGCGCTGCTTGATAGCGGCTGCAGTACCTGCTGCATCGACACCGACTACGCGCAAGCAGAGAAGCTGGATATCCAAGAGCGTCCACAACCCATTTTGGCTCGTAATGCCAACAACACCGAGAACATCAGCAGTCGGATCACGCACTACGTCGACCTAAGGATGAGAATCGGTCCTCATGTAGAGACACGCACGTTCCTTCTGACGTGCTTAGGGAAGGCCTGGATCTTCATCAGTCTTGACTGGCTGACGGAACACAATCCCGAGGTGGATTGGCAGGAGCAGACCATGAGATTCAGTTGATGCCCAGAGCGTTGTCACATGAGGGGTCACGAGGAGCACCAAGCAATGATCGACATGGACGCAATTAACCTGGACGCGGACACACCGGATCTGGAAGAAGGAGAGTCAATCCTATTGGTCGACTTTGGAAAGGAGGTGGATCTACGGCTGAAGGAAACGCCGGCGCAAAAATTTGCAGAAGAAGCGGAAAAAGAGAAGCAGAGGATGACCAAGGGAAAGATTCTGGATCAGTACCGAGAATTTGTCAAAGTATTTGCCAAGGAATCATTTGACTCACTGCCGGACCGACGAACATGGGACCATGCGATCGAGCTCAAACCTGGTTCCAAAGCAGTGGACTGCAAGGTGTACCCGTTATCATGAAACGAACAGGTCAAACTCGACGAGTTCTTACAAGAGAACCTAGCCAGCGGACGGATCAGGCCATCAAAATCACCCATGGCATCAGCATTCTTCTTTGTCAAAAAGAAGGATGGCTCGCTACGACCTGTCCAAGATTACCGGAAGTTGAATGAGACGACAATCCGAAATCGGTACCCGCTACCGCCGATCTCCGAACTGGTCCACAACCTGTGCAGCGCCAAGTTCTTCACCAAGCTCGACATCCAATGGGGATACAACAACATACGGATCAAAGAGGGCGACAAGTGGAAGGCTGCGTTTCGCACAAATCGCGGACTGTACGAGCCCTTAGTCATGTTCTTTGGCCTCACAAACTCCCCGGCAACCTTTCAAAACATGATGAACGACATACTCCAAGAACTGATCAACAAGGATCATGTGGTAGTTTATCTTGACAATATACTAATCTTCACAGAAACCTTGGACAAACATCGGCGGATCACGAAACGAGTACTCGAACTGCTCCAAAAACACAAGCTATACCTGAAACCCAAAAAGTGCGAGTTCGAACGCACAGAAATCGAATACCTGGGTGTAATTATTGGACACAATTCGATGCGTATGGACCCTGTCAAGATCAAGGGCGTGATGGAATGGCCAGAACCGAAAAGCGTCAAACAAGTCCAAGCTTTGCTCGGATTCACAAACTTCTATTGGCGCTTTGTCCGGGGATATGCGGAAGTCGCCAAGCCGTTGACACGGTTGACAGGAAAGGCAGGATGGTCATGGGGTGCAGATGAGCGTGCAGCATTTGATGGGTTGAAGAAGAGAATCGCGGAAGATGCGGTCTTAGCACTGCCAAATGACACTGGCCAATATTGTCTAGAAGCCGATGCTTTGGAAGGGGCAACAGGATCTGTTTTGAGCCAAAACCAAGATGGCATTTGGCACCCAATCGCATTTATTTTGCACACATTAACGGAAACCGAGCAGAATTACGAGATCTACGACAAAGAAATGCTCGCGATCATGCTATCATTGGATGAATGGAGGCAGTTACTACTAGGAGCCACAGAAACATTCAAGATCTTCACCGATCATCAGAATCTTGAGTACTTCCGGAAGCCGCAGAAGCTCAATCGACGGCAAGCACAATGGATCACAGAGCTGGCGGAGTTTGATTTCACCTTACAACACTGGCCCGGCGCACTCAACCGCAAGGCAGACCTCTTATCTCGACAAGCGGATCACGATCAGGGCAAGAACGACAACAAGGACGTCACGCTACTAAAGCCGGAGTTCTTCCAATCAGAGGGGCAGGATCAGCAGCTAATCGATGAGATCAAGGCCACTTGATCGATTGATGGAAGCGTCAAGGCGGCCTTGGAGAAGTCACTCGCTGGATGGAAAAAGGAAGACGGACTCATCACGTACCATGGGAAGCTCTATGTACCAAGAGACAAGGAGTTGCGGGACAAGATCATCGGACTGCACCACGACATGCCTTTGGTCGGACACGCTGGAATCAACCGAACACAGGAGATGGTGGAAAGGAACTACTGGTGGCCAAGGATGGGAAACCAAATTCGGAAATACATCCAGACGTGCGAGGCATGCCAACGGACCAAGACCAGGAGAGCAAGGACGGGGACTCTACACCCGCATGCAGTTCCAAATGCGCCATGGGAAATCATCTCAATGGATCAAATCGGACCCCTGCCGGTTAGTAATGGGTATGACGCAATCCATGTGTGGTGTGACACCTTCACCAAAATGATCCATGTCGAACCCATTAGTACTGACATCAGCAGCGAAGGAGTAGCACGGTTGACAAGGGACCGGGTTTTCCGTTATCACGGGATCCCTCGCAAGATCATCACCGACAGGGATTCGTGTTACATCAAGGGTTTCATGAAGGAGACGAATCGCATGTTGGGCGTGGAAATGAACCCAGGGACTGCATATCACCCAATCACGGATGGACAAACAGAATGCATGAATCAGGAGATCGAACACTATCTCCGCATTTACGTCAATTACCATCAGACGGATTGGTCGGAGTGGCTGGGAATGGCAGAGTTCGCATACAATGACAAAATGAACACGTCTACCAAGATGTCGCCGTTCTATGCAAATCACGGATATCACCCATGGAAGGGAGTGGAGCAAAGGATGGAATCAAGGAATGAGTCGGCGGAGGAATTTGTAAAAAGAATCAAAGAAATACAAGACAAAGCAAAAGCAGCATTGGAAAAAGCAAATGAAAAAATGAAAAAATACTACAATAAACAAAGAAAAGAAGTTCCGGAGTTGAAGGTTGGGATGAAGGTGTACATAGAAGGGGACAATATCGAGACAGACAGGCCTTCGAAGAAGATGAGCGACAAGAGATTGGGGCCATACAAGATACTGGAGAAGGTTGGAGCGGCCGCATGGAAGCTGGATTTGCCGGACACGGACCGAAGACACCCAGTGTTCAACGAGTCACTATTGACACCTTATCATGAACCACCCCCCCATTGCCGAGAGAAGAGACCCATAGCCAAGATGATCGGAGGAGCAGAGGAGTGGGAAGTTGAAGAAATCGTGAAAGAGCGAAACGTTGGCCGAGGAAAACAATACTTGGTCAAATGGAAGGGATGGCCGCATAGCGAGAACACCTGGGAACCATCACGTCACCTTACCCACGCAAAGAAGGTCCTGAGAGATTGGCAGAGGAAACAATCCAACCCAGACACACGCATTCGCCTCCTGCCAATGCTCGAAGCTGGACATTGGGACTATCTCATCTATTGCTACAAACCCAAAGACAAGTGCCTTCCATATCCCCGATGACAACTCTTTGACCTTTACAAAAACATCTTCACACCCATTGGCCCAGTCAATGAGGACATCAACCCTAGAGAGGGGGTAATGTCATAGTTCGGCCACTTTTTCATCTTACCATCAACAATCTTATCTTATCTTGGCACAGATTATCTTATCACAGATCACGGCATCTGACGGTCCGGGCTAGGGGTCCAGGAGATCATCTTTATTGATTTAAGGCTGCGCGACATATGCTCCAGAAGGTTCTACTACAACCCATGACCAGTGCTCCATGCGGTACATAGCCTTATGACTCATTAGTTGTAGATATGACTCAGATTGGATTTGGGTATAAATACTGTAGCTACTTGGTTGTATTCTCCAGTCTTCGAATTCTCTTCTCTTTTCGACTTTGTTTTTGGGTTGATTGTCACAAATATACTGAGTCGACGCACTGCCAACTAGTAGAACCAAATATGTCCAGTCAACACACTGCCAACTAAGACAATATCCAATGTCCAAAACCCAAGCACAACTTGTCAACGCACTGCCCAGCAAGAAGTGTGGAACCAAAGTTCTCAAGTCGATGCACTGCCAACTGACCAAAACAACCCGAGCACAACTAGTCAACGCACTGCCAAGCTAGAGGTGTGGAAACAATCTCAACAAAGCCTGAGGGCGACAACACTAAATGCCGCGACTAAACCAGATGCGGCGAATCCGACTTTCTGTTGTCTCAACTCAAACTCGAATCACAGTAGCTACAAGTGCTCAGGGAGCAACTTGTTGCGACCGGGCAGGGGTAGCAGAACTTCTTAGGGTGGAATCACGTGGCACGCAAATTGTACAAAACAATCTGAAATGAGAGTGATTCACAGTCTGGGGGAAAGCTTTCTAATACAAAGAAACGACGTGCTACTTATACTGTCTACGACGGTGCTTAGTAAAGTCCTGTACAACTGCATAGTAGCTACGCTATCTAAGATTGGTTGCCTTTTAGGGTAATGAAAAGTTGAACGATCGGACAGGTCGTGAGTGATCAGGACCCCGCCCCATTGTCCATATGGTACTTTTGATGTGGGTCAACCCACCGCGTCATACTCTTGGAATACGACGTGCTAGATTGGCCAACTGGTATGTCTTGGCAGGTGAGTCCAACGTGGGTGCCCCAAGAAGCCGTATGGCCCTAGGCACGCCAGCCGTTCCTCACCTGGTTTGGTTCACAGATCTAGCCCGTGTCAATTTTAGTGTGTTTGGGTATGGGCGCAACTCGCCATGACACTTGGAAGTGTCACTGCGACGCGTCCACAATGTCCTGTGATCGAATGGATCCTGACATGTGACAAGTCGTCGCCGTGGCATGATCTGAGGAAACGTCCAACCCAAAACCGGGAGTTGCCGCAACAAGATTGGTTCAATCTCGTAACGCCAAGTCCTGTCCAGTAGTAGTTGTAATATTGAGAACGTCGCACATTGCTCAGCCCTTCGGCCCAAGTTCCCATCTGCAGAGAATGACCCTTTTGAGACGTCGCCGCAACAAAGATCCCTTTTGGGGAATTGTTGCGGTTCAAGCGCTTGTCACTAATAGCCCTGAGCCTGGTATAGACTCATAAGACCAATTCCGCAGTAGTGGTCTGACTGCCTTGCTATCGTCGACACTATCCACAGTTGTCGACTGGGCAGTAGACCCTTAAGTCCTACTGAGCGCAACACTGTCAACCGCGACACGATACACCAAATGGTTCGAGAGTAAACTCTGTAAAAGCGCAAAAATATGCCCTTATAGAGCTGGTGCAGAGCGCGTCTGGTAGCCAGCCTATCAATAAGCGTTGATTTCCCCTGGTCCTGAAATTGATCGGTCATGTGCAGCTTCAATGAGTCAGCAAGGTCGCCAAAACACTTTCACGTGATCCAGTCTCATTATTGCGGACACCCTGGGCAGGCATAGGCCCACGGACACATTGCTGAGTTGACGACTGTGGATAGTGTCAACGATAGCAAGGTAGTCAGACCACTACTGTGGAATTGGCCTTATGAGTCTACACCAGGCTCAGGGCTATTAGTGACAAATGCTTGAACCGCAACAGACCAGGGGAAATCAATGCTTGTTAACAAGAATACATACATACATTATGGTATCTCACTAGTGTGAACATTAACTAGCATTTATAAAACTTACAGAGCACAAGCAACAAAGTACAATGTGATATGCCGTGAATGATGCCGAACACGTGCAGCGATCAATCATTCAGACAGCGATCTCATTTCGCGCCGCGAATCATTGCTGTTCCCGGCCTCCATACAAGGGGGTGGAAACTCAAAACCACAGAGTTGTTTGTATGTCTTACTAGGTTGTTTCCGTGTTGTTAGTTTGACTAAAAGTATTCCCTTCCGTGCCCGTTGTGGCTGTCACACTTTGACCCACGTGACGTGATGGATGCGTATTTCCGTGTTCTCGTACAAATGGTGACTCAATATCTCCCGTTTTCTCCCTCTTTTCGTCTTTGATTCCGATCGAGCCACTCACAGACATGCGCCACAAGCCAACATTCCCAGTATCTTTGACAGATTCGAAGACGGGCACCAATGCAATGTGTATTGCCGCGCATTTGGAAGGTTGCCCTGGAAGGTATCTGATGAGGGCGTAAAATTTTGATACATTTATCCATTCTGAACTGGGTCTATCTCACAAAAACGACTGCTCAATTCACAGTAGACGAGTCCGAGAATCATTGCGACGTACGACGTACGCTCCACGGCGTCCAAATGTCTTCGGGGTCCCACCGAATATGTCCGATCATCAATCAATCATCAGGACATGACGTCTGACACCCGGTTAAAAAGCGCGATGCTCCAAGCCTCCATAGATCAGGCAAGAAACCCGATCACGTAGTGTGAGAGTGAGAGCGACAAGAAGTGTTCGAGAGTGGTTCAGTTACGGCCGGGGCCCATGACCTATTGAGAATGCAAGGATGAGAACTGATATTCTTCTGTGAGCTATCTCCTGTATACATACTAAATATCGGTACCATCCAGAAGCCAGTGGAACGAACAGGAGGACGGTAGTAAGATAAGTAACGATAAGTAAATGATAACTACTTATCATTACTAATGACTGATGTGATCGTCAACAGTAGTTGTTGATATCTTCTGCCACTTTTTTGCAGCTGATCTCCAGCTCCTCGTCGGTGAAATCGACGAATCTTTCCTGATATTCCGCCGGGGACACAGGGTCGAAGGCCGGGGAACTGGCCAGGCTCTCCCTGTATTTCCTGGTCACGGCCGGGTTCCCGCATGCGAAGATGGCCGCATCGCGTTCCTCACGCGTCCCAAAATGAGCGGCAAGAGCCCTGAAGGCGCCAGGCTGCGTGAGTTCCTTGCAGGCCTCCAGGAAGGCGGCCCGCTCCTGGACTTCACGCCACTGCGGCAGAAACTTCGTAATTTCCGCAGCGAACTGCTCGGCGCAGGGTGTCGTTTGGCGATGTTGCTGCAGCATCTTTTGGATGGGGTCGGGGTGTCCACGCGACCACGCCATCGACAGAATCTGAACCATCGGGGCGCAGCGGCTTGCCCAGTGCACGGCGGAGGCGTGAGTGTTGGTGTCGCCCCATCGCTGGCCGACAAGCGACTTGCCGCCGTCCGCGCTGTCGATCAGCGTTCCCTGGCCACCCATTCCGGCGTCGATGACGTTGACGGGCCAGCTGGTACGTGTCTGGAGGAACCTGCCCTTCGCATAGTGCGGCAGTCCCGGAACGGTTTCCTTGACCTTGCCATGCAGGGCCTGGAGCACTCGGTCAGCCTCTGGAGTGAGGACCGGAGGAACGATCAAGCCATCGAATGTCAGGTCACGCAGACCGGTCCTACCCGCTTCCTTGAGGGTGATGTCCTTGAAGGATCCCTGGACGTGACGGGCCACTCCGCTGGCGAAGAGGGAGGCCACCATGGACTGGATCTCGGGAGGAGAAGCGGCAACAACACGCTGAAGCCGCTCCCAGCTGTCTCGGAGCTCTTTGTTCGAGCGCAGCTTGGCCGTTTCGGGTTTAGTGGGTTCGTAGAGGGCGGAGCGACGGTTGTCCCACATGTCGTGTCCACGCCAGGCGAGCGGTGCTTCCTCGGCCATGATTTTGACGGCTTCGCCTATGTCCTTCTCCAGGCCGTAGCCGTGTAGCATGGCGCCGTTGCCGACACGAAGGAAGCCCCACTCCGTCTTCTCGTTCCTTCCTCGTCGGTAGATCTCCGTCTGGACCCGGAAATCCTCCATTCTTTCGGCGGCCGATTTCGGAGCGTCAATCTCACTTGGATGCTTACCGAGTTCATAGGCGGTGTTGCTCTGGACCAAGGAACGGAGGAAGGTGACCCAATCGTAGCCTTTCTGCAGGCGCACGGCGTGGACATGGCGCGTGTCGAAGAAGCATGCATCTCCGGGCCACGTGACGGACGTGGCAAGCCTGGGCGGGGCGGGGTTGATCGAGCTGCTGATAAACGTGATCAGGTTCCGGTACTTGTGTACTTCGCTCTCGTCCAGAATGTAACCATTGCCCTCCGGTTTGAAGAGGTCGGTGTACTGCATCAGGATCGGAACGAAATCGTAGGCGGACAGGCTGAGGCCGCCGACGGCGAGACGGCATCCCGACTTGAGCCGTCCATCGGCATCCAGAGCGCCGCGTGTTCCGAGATACTTGCCGACCGCCTCGTGATTGGGCGTTCCCGAGAACGCCACTGACTGCACATCCTTGTCCAGTGGACTACCCATCGTCGTTCCGTTGGCGAGGATAGCGAGGTCGAAGGTATGGCGCTGCGGCTCGGCCTCGCCACGTTTCTCAACGACGAAGGTCGGATGCAGGCGATCGGTGAGGTCGATGTCGATAACCCCGTGCTCGTTCAGGATCTCGATCTCGATGTCCGGAACGTGCAGGCGTACATGGTCGAGCAGTTTGGAAAACTTGGTCTGGTGAACCTTGCCGATGAAGCCGCGGTCGGCACAGGCGCTGGACGTATCGAACCCGTTGGGACAGTCCTGTGCGTTCAAGAACAAGGAGCGTGCGGCCAAGTTCGTGACTTTAAGATCGTCGGCATGGTCCGGGTTGCGCTTGGCCTCGTCCGCCACGGCAGCGGGGGGGTCGTTGAGCCTGGCGATGATGGCCTCGTATTTTTCCGGAATGCGCTCGGGGTGGGCGAGCTTGATCCCACCCCAGATGCCGGTGTTCAAGGCAGCATCGTCGTTCGTGTCGATGGAGGTGCCCGTCACCACCTCGCGCTTTTGTTCGAACACGGTGATCTTGGTGATGAAGGGATCGGCCTCCGCCTCCACCGCCTTGATCTCCTCCGATTTGGCATGATGGTTGAAAACGAGTGCGCTGATGAGCTCCGTGGCGCGTGGACCGCCGCCGGAAATACCGATGTTGTAAACGGACTTGCTGGTGGAAGCCATCGTGTGTGGTATTTTTCAGAAGTGTTGGTGAAAATGTGTTGCGAGAAAGAGTATGCGAGGATCAATAAACCAGAACGAAAGGGAAGGTGCTACGCATATATACCTGAGACAGGATGACGAACCGGTGCAACCATTCGTCCGGTATGGTCAATCAATGCGTCATCCTGTTGCGGTTCCACGACGGTGTGGTCTCATGCCATCCCTTGCCCTCCAATGAGGTGGTTTCGACGGTGCACATGTTTCTCGGCGGGCGACGTTTGCGGGTGGGCTGATACTGTTGATCGCAACGGTCTCCGGATGAGCGCCAACGCGCCGGATAATCGAGTCGCACTCTCGCATCTCGCGGCTTATTGCCGCGGAATTTTCTGCAACTCATTACTGTACATGTAAGTAGTGATTGGTGTTGGAAGATTGCCCGCGGATTCTTGGCACCTCGATTGATGCTTCTTTTCCTCTGGTCGGACAGGATCACTGAATGATGTACCAGTCGTCTCACATATGACGTGCTGAGCCTTGGCTGATCTTTCAAGTCCGAGGCTTCGTCTACGGAGAAAGCGCCCAGCGCGTGAAATTTCTCATGTGGGCAGCTTTCCTATGTGCTAAGTGAACAGAGGGAATGGAAGCAGAAGGGTGCCCATCAGCCGTGCCGTACGCCAAGGCAAAGTCGTAATTACTTCAGAGTCAACGACATGCATTATGACATGCTTAAAGACCCTGATCTTCGAACATTTTGAAGGGCCTACAGAATTCGCCGCGGGACCCCCGCAGATCTGGCCCAGCGGGACCCCTGAGAAATCCAAGTCCCGCTCTCGACGACGACGTCGCTGAAAGATGTTCCGTCAACACTGGCATAGAGTCTGAAGTAGTAGAAATATATCCCCATGCGTTGCATCATTCGTAGTGTGGACATCGTTGAGGACGACGAGGTCGAAGAGTCGGGTCCCGCGGGAATCTACCTAAAGCGGGACTAAACCCAGCGGGACTCCAGCGGGAATGGAAAATGACCCCGCGGGACTCCAGCGGGAGTGCTTAACCGGTGTGCGGGACTCCAGCGGAGGTCGAGCAGGTCTCGCGGGACTCCAGCGATGGCCCCACTCGACCCCGCGGGACTCCAGCAGTCGTCTCACATGCCCCGCGGGACTTCAGTGGAGGTCCAGCAGAGGTCCAGCAGGTGTGAAGACTGCGGGATCCTCTGCTCACCGTCACAATCCGGGAGTGCTGCTCTTTAAGGTCACTGCCGCACACCGCCGTGCCTATCGTCGTCGCACATTAAAGTCACATCATCATCGTGCACGTCGCGTCAATTCCACAGCCACCTCATCATCATCGTGCTCGTCGCACTGCACATCAAACATCACAGCCACATCGCATTCCTGCTCATCGTTCGCAACAACGACGACGATCATGTTGAAAATAAGAATTTCATATTATTAGTTAGCCTGACAGCTAGTAACTAATACAACTCGTCTTTGAATGATTTAAGTCTGGGAGACCGCGCCTTAAATGGGGAAATTCATTCTAAGTAAACCTCAACCTGTGTGCATTCACAACAACAGGTTGTCTAGAATTTACCATGGGACGCCATTGAGCCAACCCAGCGGAGGCCCAGCGGACCTCACTTTTGTTGTTGACAGACCGCCGCCCTCAACAACGACAACAAGTACAGTATGGTGTGTATTTCAATAGGTAGTTACACCTAAGTTGTTCGGTCTAGTGGGATGGTAGTCTATGTGCAACAACAAAATAGTATTCAAAAATGTCTAGCGGTGGTCCCCGATCGAGCGGCGGGAGTGCTAGCAGGATCTGCGGCGGTCCCGCGGTGGTGCAAGTTTTGTCCTGCGGGACCCCAGCGGGACTCCAGCGGGACTCCAGCGGGTCCCAGCGGGTCCCGCGGCTAATTCATGTAGCCCCATTTTGAAGGAGGCCTCGCTAGTTTGCATAATACACACCGAGAAGAAATAATTTTGAGAATATTCAAGTTGGAACCCTGGGGACTGTGCTTCAAAAATCTATCTGTTGGCAGAGGATGCAGCCACGAAGTTGCCGAAACGATCACTTTTTTTGGCGGAGCTGACCCCCCTTGTGCAAACGTCTGCAACACGGGGTCACATTCTGGTGCACTCCGACACATTTTGGCATCGATGTGGCCTGACTGGACGTGGTCCCGGTTATTGCGCTGCACGCAGTAGCAAGTGTGTGTCACTTGCTCAAATATGTACATAGAGTGCCAAGTAGTATAGTTGTAGCTACTAGTAAAGTGCGGTGGTGCCTGGTAAGCATTGAGGGACGGAATAATATGTGTGGTATCTCTGAGGTGGGATCGTTGGAGAGGTGACAAATCTGACTCGATGTATGATGGTCCTTCGGTGAAATCGTCGCGTTTACATTTCCCTAGCAGCAAAGCATACCGAGGATCTAGGAGAAGCCCGGCATTCTCGTGCTGAGCAAAATGCGCCGTAATTCGGTCGAGAAGAGTCGAGAAGAGCCTTCTTCTGGCCGTATTCAGCATGGCCTAGTGTCCGTGCAATGTCGCGAAGCTGGCCCACTTTTTGCGTCTCCAGAGTTCCAGGGAACCTCATGCCTGCTTGCCCATGATTGCGGCGCCGGGTCCGGACAGCAGCTGCTTCATCGCCCTTCCCTGTTTGCCGCTCTATTGCCACTGCTGCCTTCTTTAATCTTGCTTCTCCTGCTTCTCGGCCTCCTCCTCCCGACCCTCAGTCGCAGTGACGATTCGAGACTATGTATGGACAATCCGCTCCCCAGAAGTTTTCTTCTTCGTGTTCAACTCCTCTTGGATAGATTCGATGTGGGATTTCGCAAGGACAGCGTGAGCTGTGGCACGATTTCGTTAATTTCGCACCCTATCGAGGCGGCGCTTCAGGGTGTCACGCTGCTGCTTATAGAATTGTAGCTTCTCTGGTGTAGTCAGGTGCGCTGCTGGCTTGGTGACTTCATCATCGTCTGAATCCTCCCACATGCTTGTGAACTCGGGAGCCATGAGCGGCTGAGCAGAAGACTGGGACGGTAGACCCGTGGCTGTCAAGGAAGGACTGTGACGGGTTCTTCATCATCATCGCCCCCTTCGCCAGTGCATTCAGCATCATCGCCATCGCATGGGCCAACGCTTCTGGAGGCTCAGCTGCTGGATACCCATGCGATAATTGGGCTAGGGTTACGTACTTTGGCTTGTGGCAAAGTCGGCAGCTGAGAAGCGAGAGATGTTGCAGGTGACATGGCCGCTCCCGGGATCATCGTCGACCCCAGATTTCTCACATGCCTTCGAAATGGTGTTTTTCTTCATCAACGAGAGGTTTCTGGCCTTGAGATACTCAGCCAAGACCTGTGATGCCGTGATTCTGGCTCCACTTCTCTCAGAAGTCTTGATCCATTTTCTCTTGGGCTAGACTTCTCCCATGACTTCGAAATGGAGCGACATGAATTAGCCGCGGGACCGCTTGAGTCCCGCCGAAACAAATTCACATCCCCGCGGGTCAAACCAGGACTGCCGCGGGACCACCGCCGGTCCCGCTGGGACTCCTGTCAGTTCTGGGACCACCGCTAGATGTCGTTGAATACTGTAGCAGTTGCGCATATTCTACCCCCAATTCTTGACCACAGTGAAAGGACTTGAATTGATTACTAGAGAATCATGTCTGCGACCTTCTGTCTGGGTTTCCGCAGCATGACTGCTTCTATAACGTCTGCTTTTACATGTTTTTAGTCGTCTCTTCTCCTCACCGTCGAAATTTAGACTCCACTGTGGGATTGGCGGGGTTGAAGGCCAGGGCACCGAGCGTGCATGCTCAACACTTGCGAAACGAAGCTGATCGTAGATGGAATGTCGATCTACCAATCTGTATGAAGATTCGCGCCATGTTCCGGGGAATGACTCGATCCATATTTTTTGACGATAAGAAAAATAGTCCTGCCTTTGATCCGGAGCACGTTTTCCGATCGGTCAGCATGATCCGGAGAATGACCGATCCATAATTTTTTGACGATAGTCAAGGTCAATCATTTCCATCTCTCCTCCTTCACCTCCTCCACTGACCAGTGAGACAATGAGTCCCGTCTACGCGCCCCTCGTTGCACGCGCGTCTCTCTTCCGACGATCTCTCTTGCAGCATCGCCTTGCAGCATCGTTCGACCCAGCTGACGTCCATCAGGCGTCCAAATTGACAGTCGCACTTGCATTCGCGCTGAAGTAGATTCCGCCGTTGGGCCCATTCGGAGTCACCAAGACAGACAACAGGCTTGTGATGTCGCACGACCCAGTGACGGGGGGGTCAGCGCCAGAGATCAAGCCCTGTGCACCGTTAGAACTGGATCCTTCAAGGGGTGCGTCCCTCGAGCTGTTGGTTCGCACAGTGACTGACATGGGCGCGTCATACTAGCAACTGCTTGCAGTATTGCACGAATGTTTTCACGGCACCATCCTGCCCGGAATCACGCGTGACTCCGTGCTAACCCTCCTCCGCACGCACGCCGCCTCTCCTTCCTCCGGCCTCCTGGCACTACTCGCCTCCCTCCCGCGTCTCTCAATTGAGGAACGCGAACTGACGACAGACGAGCTCGTCGCTGCCGCGCGAGCGGGCCGACTCCGCGAGACGTTTGGCGTAGGGACGGCCGTGCTGGTGGTCGCCGTCGAGCGGATCGGAATCTCTGAAGGCGAGCGGGACATTGGGAAGGTGACAGATATCGCGATGAGCCACGGGAAGGAACTGGGGCCTGTCGGCGCTCCTCGCGATCAAGGATGGGAGGGAACAGTTTCCAAATGTAGTTTGCTAGCAGCGTTACATTCAAGATCAAGCTCAAAGCGGCTTCTGACTACATGCTCAATATGAAAACTTGTGGAGGACTAGAGAGCAAGCACATAAAGTTGGCGGAGACCTTTTTTAGACGATTGAAAGCATCGCGATTGAGCCTACAATGACTCTGATGTTGGCACTCTGGATGTTTCATTCACAGTAGAATTTTGGCAGGAAAATGCATATGTAACCTGCTTCTTTGATCATTTCCGGAATCAACCATATTAATTCCGAGCCCTCCGAGCACAATATTTGGAAAACAGGAACTGCGTCACCTCCCCGCTGAGGTCTTGAAATCGGCCAAGAACAATCACAAAAAAACTTCCCTCTGCGGAAATGTTGGCTAGATCATCTTGGCAATTACTCTGAAATCAAATGTTTCAAAGCAGGAATGCTGAATAAGTAATGATTAGAGAGGAGACAAAAACTGGCTCTGCTTTGCTCGATTCTCAGTGAATGGGGTAGTTCCATAGAGCTGTTTAACTCATGTCCCGGGATCTCCCCCCGAGAAACAAAGGAGCATGTGATCGTCAGGTGTTTCGAATCGATGGAGATCAGGATAGTTTCATCCGGTTGCATTCAATGGATGGAAACTCAGACGCGGCGACAACCCCGTCTCTCGCGCGGACTTTTCGGATCAATTGTGCCGACGACGGAGTCATGCCACATGCATCCATTAGAAATGTAAAACATCGGGTGGTTCAAAAGTACTGCTTGAATCTGTTGGATGATAATCTATACATGGCAACCTGAGAGATGTAGAGATTCGACATGGGAAGTTCCGTATGTAACTTGAGCGTGACGTCTTGCTGGGAAACCAGTATGGCGGCAGCAGTAATGGAGGTATTTCCGCGGCACCTTCAAGTAGCATAGGATGACATGGAAGAAGAAAACAGGTCTTCGACCGCAATCAGACCGGGCACAGCCCTGTCCCATTCCCATGTGTATACATATGGGCAAAATTTTAAAAAATTGCCTTCACCTTCTCAACTTTCATCGGGGAAGGTACTGCGCTTCACAATCTTGACCGTCGCAAAGAAGCTGCAATATCTCACATCTGGTTGGCCGAAGCTGGCGGCGCCAGTGAAAGAACCGCATAACTACAGGTCTGCAAGGCGTTAATGCTCAATGAGTGTCGGCGAGTGGCGAGTTTATAATCCTGAGCTCAGTGAAGGAGGCGCCAAATCCTTGGGCGATCTCGATCCTATTTCGATGGCTACACAGGAATGAGCTCTCTTGGGTGAAGCCTGCTTCTAGCGGACTCGCCGCCCTGAGAAGCCGGTCACAACTCCTCGACTTCACGTGGAATGCAAGGACTGCAAATTCGCGATCCAGACCGGCTTCCGCGATCAGGTGATCTGGGAGAAGTGCAGTTCCATTTCTTGTGCTTCTTCGTGTCAGCTTGAAGAAGCGTGTCCAAATGCAGAAATTTCTTGATGGCGACCCCATCAGACTAGAGAGCCACAACCATCCAGGAGTTAGAGAAACTACCCGATCGGCCCGCCCACGGCAATTCTGAATGTGCTCCGGATAAGGCCCGGACGCTCTTTGACCCTACCCAAGCATTTGTGATCCACCACGCGGCAGAATAGCGTTACATGTGAGGATAGGTCCCATTCTGAACGAAACTCTGATTGAATGAATTTTCACGATTCGATGCCCTGCAGTTGGTCATAGCACTCTCGTTGGATGTGATTAGTTTCGACAGCGCTTAAGACACGTCCGTGGATCGGAAGCAGGTCTGTCCACTCTCGCGTTGTGTAATGTTCGCGTGAGCGATAATGTCTGTGGTGGCAGAACAGCTGGCGAGACCTGGGGACCGTGTGCGAGCGCAATTTTTCCCGTCATGTTCTCACACGGAGGAAAGGCGAGGAGGCGGGCAAGACCATAGGCCCAGCAGAGCGGTATCGATTTCACTGCCGCGTTGATCTGGTATGCCGTGTGGGATTTCTCGGGCATATGCACCTCGCTCCGCGGCTGACATTTCCCCTTTTGACAGTGTTCGTTGTTTATGCCTCGCCTTCAATCTGCAAGGTAAATTCCTCACGAACGATCATCTTCCATGCAGACCCGTGGAGGCTCAAGGCTGATTTCCGACTGCGCGCGAGATATACAGATTGATGGACACATTTTCCAAGCTGTATAAAGGTAGCCCTCGAGATTTTTCAATGGACAGACTCAACCGCGATCACAGTCTTCGTTTCACTGAGAATGCCTCCCGCCACGTTCTCCTTCCGCACCGTCCTCTCTCTCGCTGCAGCAGCGCGCATGGCCTCCGGCCACACCATGGGGCCTGTTGGCGACTTGATAGTGGCCAATAAGACCATCGCCAACGGGACGAACTACATGGACGGGGTCGCGTTCGTCAGCCAGTGTCCTATTGCCCCTGGCAACTCGTTCACGTACGACTTTACCACCCAACAATCGGGGTGCGCACCTGTCCTCTTGGAAAACGGGACCCATCTGATTACCCGCGGGCTTGTTTCAGAACTTACTGGTATCATTCTCACCTCGCCACTCAGTATTGCGATGGCTTGCGCGGCCCGATCGTCATTTACGACCACGAGGACCCCTACCGCCACGAATACGACGTTGACAACGAGGACACGGTGATCACGCTCGCCGACTGGTACAACGTTTTTGCCGAAACGGTCGTCGGTCCTGGGTGAGTGATTTCAAGAGGTCAAATCTTTCGACCAGATGCTTATCCGTGGAATCTTCAGAGTGCCTGCCTCTATGCTCATCAACGGTCTCGGACGTACCGCTGCCACCGTCTCGAACACGACCCTCGCCGTCATCAATGTCGTCCAAGGTCTTCGCTACCGGTTCCGTCTGATTAACATGGCCTGCGACTCCAACTACGTGTTCCAGATCGACGGCCACCAGAACCTGACGATCATCGAGGCCGACGGTGTCCTCCACGAGCCGTTGAGCGTCGACTCGATTCAAATCTTTGCAGGTGAGCGCTCCCAATAGATCTTCTGTCAGGGAACTGCCGACTCACTGACTTCTTCAAGGCCAACGCTATTCGTTCATCCTCACTGCTGACCAGGCCATCGACAACTACTGGATTCGCGCGAACCCGAACACGGGCCCAGCTGGGTTCGCCGGCGGGATCAACTCCGCGATTCTCCGCTGTGCGCTCCTGTGTATCGTTCTCGCCGTGACCCATCTCATCCGCCCTCTTCTAGACATCGGAGCGAACGAATCCGAGCCCACGACCTCGCAGGACACGTCGGTCAACGGCCTCGTCAACGAGGTCAACCTCCACCCGCTCGTCAACCCTGGTGCCCCCGGCGGCGCTTTCATTGGTGGCGCCGATGTGCAACTCAATCTGGCTCTGGCGTTCAACACTGTGCGCCAACAGCATCCTCTGCTGTTTGAGCTCGATTGCTGACCGACACACAGACCACGCTGAAATTCATGGTCAACGGCGTGACGTTCGTTCCTCCGACCGTTCCCGTGCTGCTTCAGATTCTGTCCGGGGCCCAGTCCGCCCAGTCGCTGCTCCCGAGTGGCTCGGTCTTCACGCTCCCGCACTTTGCGTCAGTCGAGATCACGCTTGCTGCGGGCAACGTTATTGGTTTTCCTGTGTGTTATCTTCTTCCTCACCTCATGGTTAAATCGCTCATGGATTCTGGCAGCACCCGTTCCACTTGCACGGACACGTCTTTGATGTGATCCGCCCGGCCGGCAGCACCACCTACAACTATGTAAACCCCGCTCGCCGCGACGTCGTCAGCGTCGGGAACGAGGGTGACAACGTCACGATTCGGTTCTTCACGGACAACCGCGGACGTGCGTGTTTAAGGTTCCCGTGTTCCGCATCGGGTAACTGACGATCAAGCAGCGTGGTTCCTCCACTGCCACATCGACTGGCACCTGGTGAACGGCTTTGCGATCGTGCTTGCGGAGGATGTGCCCGACTGGAACTCGGGGCTGATCCCCCCTTCGGAGTGGGAACAGCTGTGTCCCACCTACAACGCGCTACCTCCCTCCATAACTTCTCACGCTGGTTGAACCACTAAACAAATCGTACCATTTTTCCTGTGTCATTTGATTCCATGATAGCTTTTCTCAGATACATTCTATGTACAAGAAGTATTGTTGTTAGATATGAATGTTTAGATTTTCTACAACTTCAGGGGCCACTACAACTCCCTCTGTGTCCGCTTGCTTGAATACCCTGCATCTTAGTCTGAGATCGGCTAGGGGGCAACCTGGGGCAACAAAGAACGCAGTCACTGCATTCATGCAAAGCCGGAACACCGGTCCAGAAGCCGCTCGCTCCGGAATGCCCCGTCCTCTGATGCGAGATCTCCGACGGCGGACACGCTACTCAAAACTTGCTCAGCTGCTCAATGACAGCTTCGGCATGGAAACCCGGAGAGGTCTGCTAGGGTCTGCTCATGTCAAATGGTTATGCAACGCTGATCATTGGCAAGCGATGTCAAGACCCCGGAGCTATCACACTAAGCAACATTACGAGCACACAGACTGATATGCACCCCCCATGTCATGAATCCGGATCTGATTGATACATACAACCAGTGGCAGTGCCGTGATTATGGAGGCTCGGAAGGCCCTGCTCACAACCGAGACAGTTGACGTTGATAGGCGATGTAAGGACCCCATGCGCACGATGACATGCTCCTTTTACGTACATTTTCAAATGTTAATTCTAACGCACATCGGCTTTAAGCCCTGGATTTTTGTCCAACCCGTATGGTGCGGTCGACTTAGAGACCACTACTTGGGAAAAGACTGCCAAATCAGCCGGAGGAGATTTCTTTCTATATATCCCGTTTTCTAGCCTGAAATGATGCTGAATGTGAGAATTGAGGATAAAGGCACATAACACGTCACTCATCTGCTAACAAAAGCACAAAGCGCTGCTGCTGCTTGTGCTCGGGCAAAGCGACATCCACAGGCTCGCCAACCAGCAACAATAATTGATCACACACTGTCTCAAGATCACGAACGCAGGATGATCATTGATTTGGTGGTGTCATAGTTCGACCACTTTTTCATCTTATCATCGACGATCTTATCTTATCTTGGCACGACTTATCTTATCACGGATCACGGCATCAGACGGCCCGGGCTAGGGGTTCCAGGGGTTATCTCTATCGATTCGAGGCTGCGCGACATATGCTCCAGAAGGTTCTACTACAACCCATGACCAGCGTTCCATGCAGTACATAGTCTTATGACTCATCAGTTGTAGATATGACTCAGACTGGATTTGGGTATAAATACTGTAGCTACTTGGTTGTATTCTCCAGTCTTCGAATTCACTTCTCTTTTCGACTTTGTTTTTGGGTTGATTGTCACATAATTTGAAGACTCCCCTCATACCCTCGTACCTCTTACCTCCTACCCTGCTCCCTGCACCGCTACGCCCGCTATATCCTCTTCACCTTTATCATCCCACTCACCCTTTTACCGAATCATCTAGTTGCTCGCTGCGATCGCAGTGAAAGGTTCATATCGAGCAAACAGCACCAGGCCACGGGTAACGTTGAGCCCGACCCAAGCCTTACGGTAGCTACAAGGAGTGCTGCGGAGACCTTCGGGAAAACGCACCTCGGGATCATCGGGCACGTGAAGAGCTAGGCCCGGGATCTTTTTGCTAGCAAAAGAACCTTTCCTCGAGTGCTTGTACAGCACACGAATTCACCATTTCGTACCGATTCCCATCGTCATCTGGGAGTCCATCCCCTCCCCCCATCATACCATCGTCGCCCGATCTGGCGCATCAAAACCAACCCGGATCCTCCAACCCCTACCTCGCCCTTCCGCTGCCTGAAGACGAGTTCCCCAACCTTGGCGAGTTACCCTCCGAACAACCACCCTCGCCCCCACCTACCGCACCTGCTCCTACCATGTCAGGACATCACCGCATCACCCTCGCCGCCAACCCCCCCTATTTCGATGGCGACAAGTCCAAGTACCTGGGCTTTGTGGATGCGTGCACCACTTACATCGGTGCCTATTGGTCAGAGTTCTCGCTGGACGAGACGAAAATCCTCTTCGTCCTGTCCTATCTCCGCAATGAGAGCGGCACAAGCTGCGCCGCCTCAAGATGGGCAATGAACTGGAAGCAGCACAATTTCGAGGGCTTCCAAGGACTAAAGGCGGGAGTCACCGCGACAAGCTTCTTGGAGGAGCTTCAGAGGGCCTTTGGGGATTCCAACGCGGAGCAAGTCGCTGCCGCCCGACTCATGGCCCTTCGCCAGGGCAGACGGTCCTTTGCGGACTACATCTCAGACTTCGAAATGCTGGCTGCAGACGCGGGGTACAACGTGGTCACCTCCACCGACAGCAAGGGCGAGTACAAGAAGGGGGAACAGGACAATATCCTCATCGAGTTCCTGGAGCGCGGACTCAGCAGCGAAATTGCAAGCCGCCTCTACAACACTGGCGTCCCCCTGCCCAAGGCATATGGTGCCTTCAAGAACTGGTGTGTCAACATCGAGGCGAACGCTCTACGCAATCAGCTGCGCAAAGCATCGCATGCGCAATCCGCACCACGACCGCCTCCCCAATTCCGCCCGCAGGTAGCCCCAATGACACCTGCACCCGCCCCGGCCCGACCCGCTGCCAACGAACCAGTTCCGATGGAAATCAATCGCACCCACACCCATGGCCGCAATATCATCTGCTACAACTGTCAGCAGCCTGGGCACATTGCGCGGAACTGTCCGGAGCCAAGGAAGAAGCGCACATTCTTCAATCGGGCCACGATGCTGGAAGAAATCGAGAACGGGGACAAGGACAACGAGTTCCTCAAGGAGATCGCTGAGAAGCTGCGCGAGAAGGGTTTTTGAAGCGCTCCACTCCTCTAGCCAAGGAGGTGGAGCGTCCAGACTATGGATGTTTTTCTATACTTGTTTCGATTAGAGATATGAACGATTCTCCTCATGCATACACGATCTCAGACTCCCTACGTACTAATATTCATGATTTTCTTGTTGCTGATATGGAAAAGAAACGTCAAAAGAAAATAGCTTTAAATAGAGGGTATTTACAGAGTAAAAAGGATCAGAAAGCTGCGGATAAATTAATTTCGGACTCCTACGTATTTATGGCTCCTGGAGAAGGAACCACGTCAACAAAGACCGAAAAGGGGAGCATCGCTCCGGAGGCTCAATCCTTGGAAAAGGAGGAAGCGCCCAAGGAAACTGCCGAAATCAGGGTTCCAGAAGCACCCAAACGCACGAGGGTGCCAGATGCCGTTCAAAGGAAATGGGCAGCCGAGAGACAGAAGGGCCCGCAACCCAGCAGACTGGTGCAGGAACTGCGCAACTACCAGGCCGAAAGGAAGAGACATTCGATGGATGTGTATGTCCAGATCACGGGCCTGGACTCAGGAAAGACGCGCGGAGTCAAGGCGCTACTCGATAGTGGCTGTAGCACCTGCTGCATTGATACCGACTACGCGCGGGCAGAGAAGCTGGATATCCAAGAACTTCCCCAACCCATTGTGGCTCGTAACGCCGACAACACCGAGAACATCAGCGGTCGGATCACGCATTACGTCGACCTAAGGATGAGAATCGGTCCTCACGTGGAGACACGCACGTTCCTTCTGACGTGTTTAGGGAAAGCTCGGATCTTCATCGGTCTTGATTGGCTGACGGAACACAACCCCGAGGTGGATTGGCAGGAGCAGACGATGAGGTTCAGTCGATGCCCAGAGCGGTGTCACATGAGGGGTCACGAGGAGCATCAAGCAATGATCGACATGGATGCGATTGACCTGGACGCAGGTGCACCGGATCTGGAAGAGGGAGAGTCAATCCTGTTGATCGACTTTGGGAAGGAGGTGGATCTACGGTTGAAGGAAACGCCGGCGCAGAAATTCGCAGAAGAAGCGGAAAAAGAGAAGGAGAGAATGACCGAGGGGAAGATTCCGGATCAATATCGGGAATTTGTCAAAGTATTTGCCAAGGAATCGTTCGACTCGCTACCAGACCGACGGGCATGGGACCATGCAATCGAGCTCAAACCTGGTTCCAAAGCAGTGGACTGCAAGGTGTACCCGTTATCATGAAACGAACAGGTCAAACTCGACGAGTTCTTACAAGAGAACCTGGCCAGCAGACGGATCAGGCCTTCCAAATCACCCATGGCATCAGCGTTCTTCTTTGTCAAAAAGAAGGATGGCTCGCTACGCCCCGTCCAAGATTATCGGAAGCTGAACGAAATGACAATCCGAAATCGGTACCCGCTGCCGCTGATCTCTGAACTGGTCCATAATCTATGCGGTGCAAAGTTCTTCACCAAGCTCGACATCCGGTGGGGATACAATAACGTACGGATCAAAGAGGGCGACGAGTGGAAGGCTGCGTTCCGCACGAACCGCGGACTGTACGAGCCCTTGGTCATGTTCTTCGGTCTCACAAACTCCCCGGCAACCTTCCAAAACATGATGAATGACATACTCCGAGAACTGATCAACGAGGGCCACGTGGTAGTCTATCTTGATGATATACTGATCTTCACAGAGAACTTGGACGAACATCGGCGGATCACGAAACGAGTACTCGAACTGCTCCAAAAACACAAGCTGTACCTGAAACCCGAAAAGTGCGAGTTCGAACGCACGGAAATCGAATATTTGGGTGTGATTATTGGACACAATTCGATGCGGATGGACCCAGTCAAGATTAAGGGCGTGATGGAATGGCCAGAACCAAAGAGCGTCAAACAAGTACAAGCCTTCCTAGGGTTCACCAACTTCTATCGACGCTTTGTTCGGGGATATGCGGAGATTGCCAAACCATTGACACGGTTGACAGGGAAGGCAGGATGGGCATGGGGTGCAGATGAGCGTGCAGCATTTGATGGGTTGAAGAAGAGAGTCGCAGAGGATGCGGTCCTAGCACTGCCAAATGACACTGGCCAATATCGTCTGGAAGCCGATGCTTCGGAAGGGGCAACAGGAGCAGTGTTGAGCCAAAACCAAGACGGCATTTGGCGCCCAATCGCATTTATTTCACACGCATTGACCGAAACCGAGCGAAATTACGAGATCTACGACAAAGAAATGCTCGCGATCATGTTATCACTCGATGAATGGAGGCAGCTGCTCCTGGGAGCCACGGAAACATTCGAGATCTTCACTGATCATCAGAATCTTGAGTACTTCCGAAAGCCGCAGAAGCTCAATCGACGACAAGCACGATGGATCACGGAGCTGGCGGAGTTTGATTTCACCTTACAACACCGACCCGGCGCACTCAACCGCAAGGCGGATCTCCTGTCTCGACGAGCGGATCACGATCAGGGCAAGAACGACAACAAGGACGTCACGCTACTGAAGCCCGAGTTCTTCCGATCACAAGAAGTCACATTCGAGGGACAGGATCAGCAGCTAATCGATGAAATCAAGGCCATTCGATCAATTGATGGAAGCGTCAAGGCGGCCTTGGAGAAGTCACTCGTCAGATGGAAGAAGGAAGAGGGGCTTATCACGTATCATGGGAAGCTCTATGTACCAAGAGACAAGGAGTTACGGGACAAGATCATCGGATTACACCACGACACCCCCTTGGTCGGACACGCTGGGATCAACCGAACGCAGGAGATGGTGGAAAGGAACTACTGGTGGCCCAGGATGGGAAACCAAATTCGGAAATACATCCAGACGTGCGAGGTGTGCCAACGGACCAAGACCAGAAGAGCGAGGACAGGGACTCTACACCCGCACGCAGTTCCAAACGCACCGTGGGAAATCATCTCGATGGATCAAATCGGACCCTTGCCGGTTAGTAATGGGTATGACGCAATCCATGTGTGGTGTGACACCTTCACCAAAATGATCCATGTCGAACCAATTAGTACTGACATCAGCAGTGAAGGAGTCGCACGGCTAACCAGGGACCGAGTCTTCCGCTACCATGGGATCCCTCGCAAGATCATCACCGACAGGGACTCGCGTTACATCAAGGGCTTCATGAAGGAGACGAATCGGATGTTGGGCGTGGAAATGAACCCGGGGACTGCATATCACCCGATCACGGATGGACAAACCGAACGCATGAATCAGGAGATCTAACACTATCTCCGCATTTACGTCAACTACCATCAGACAGATTGGTCGGAGTGGCTGGGAATGGCGGAGTTTGCATACAATGACAAAATGAACACGTCTACCAAGATGTCGCCGTTCTATGCAAATCACGGATATCACCCATGGAAGGGAGTGGAGCAAAGGATGGAATCAAGGAACGAGTCGGCGGAGGAATTTGTAAAAAGAATCAAAGAAATACAAGACGAAGCAAAAGCAGCATTGGAAAAAGCAAATGAAAAAATGAAAAAATACTACAATAAACAAAGAAAAGAAGTTCCGGAGTTGAAGGTTGGGATGAAGGTGTACATAGAAGGGGAAAATATCGAGACGGATAGACCATCAAAGAAGATGAGCGACAAGAGATTGGGACCATACGAGATACTGGAGAAGGTTGGAGCGGCCGCATGGAAGCTGGATTTGCCGGACACGGACCGAAGATACCCGGTGTTCAACGAGTCACTATTGACACCTTATCAGGAACCACCCCCCCCATCGCCGAGAGAAGAGACCCGTAGCCAAGATGATCGGAGGAGCAGAGGAGTGGGAAGTTGAAGAAATCGTGAAAGAGCGAAAAGTCGGCCGAGGAAAACAGTACTTGGTCAAATGGAAGGGATGGCCGCACAGCGAGAACACCTGGGAACCATCACGTCACCTTACCCATGCGAAGGACGTCCTGAGAGACTGGCAGAGGAAACAATCAGATCCAGACACACGCATTCGCCTCCTGCCAACGCTCAAAGCTGGACACTGGGACTATCTCATTCATCGTTACAAGCCCAGGGACGAGCGCCTTCCATATCCCGAACGACAACTCTTCGACCCCTACGAGAACGTCTTCACGCCCATTGGCCTAGTCGATGAGGACATCGACCCTAGAGAGGGGGTAATGTCATAGTTTGACCACTTTTTCATCTTATCATCGACGATCTTATCTTATCTTGGCACGACTTATCTTATCACGGATCACGGCATCAGACGGTCCGGGCTAGGGGTTCCAGGGGTTATCTCTATCGATTCGAGGCTGCGCGACATATGCTCCGGAAGGTTCTACTACAACCCATGACCAGCGTTCCATGCGGTACATAGTCTTATGACTCATTAGTTGTAGATATGACTCAGACTGGATTTGGGTATAAATACTGTGGCTACCTGGTTGTATTCTCCAGTCTTCGAATTCACTTCTCTTTTCGACTTTGTTTTTGGGTTGATTGTCACAGGTGGACGGACACATATCGGAAGGGATTGGAGATGCAGCTGACACAACTCGAGGTTTGGAAGTTAGTTTGCAGGTACACAAATTGCATCATCGCATCCCAGAGACCGTAGTTCAGGCTTCTGACTAGTATAATATTCATAATTAACGGGCCTGCCGGTTTTGCCCTACTGTAAGGGCAACCTCGAGGCCCGATCTCAGAGTCCTGACAAGGGAGAGTCCAAAGCGTCAGATAAGAGGATCGACTAGTACAGGAGACTGGCAAACCTGACAAGGGAGAGTCCAAAGAGAAACCGAGTTGGGGACTCTCCTTGTCAGGGCCCACTATATATAGCCTACAGAACAATGGATGACCAAGCACAATGGAAGCGCCAGACAATAGGGCCAGGGAACAATGAGGGGCCGGATCGGGGGAGAACAATGGGAGCCGGACCGTCGGGACAATGGGGGTCCGGGCCGGAGTGTCATGGGGACGTGCTTGGCAGGGAAGTCCGGACCGAAGCATGTGACGCTTGACAGATGGCACGTGCGCGGTCACACGCAAGATCCCATGATGATCGGACGAAAGCAGGGGTTCCCCTGACACCTACCTGGAAATTTCTACTCTCTCAGGGATTTATTTTGGGCTTATCCCTCTAGCCATTCTCTTCCTCTCATGGAAAGGAAGCGACTGGAAAGAGGAAAATATTCATCGTTAAAACTAGTGTACTATTACAACCCAAACCTAACTGTCGGTCATCGGTCACCAGGACCCAAAATCCGGTTTTTTGATGTGCTTAAAATTCACCTTACCTCAAAACTAAATGAACCGCGCCATACCTGACCTCCAATCAGCGAATGATTTACAAATGATTTTACACAAACTACTCTAAATATAGTCCGGAATTGAACGAGTGTCTCGATTGGAGCACCGATCAACAAAAATTGATCTATTTGGGTAATTCGGGGTCAGACCAGACCGGACTGGGGCTAATTTTTGTAACCCTGTGACTTTTATATCGCCGAATGGAGCCGCAATTTTTGTCTAACACCCGACTCATTTGGGCTAATCCCTCCCCGCCAAAAATTGTCCAACAGGGGGCTAACATTTAGTGGGAATTTCACAGGTCCTATAATCCCCCAACTGTAACTGAGAAGTCACTACGCGCATCTTCAACAGGGCCTAGCTACTTATGTACGTACATAAAGTCTGGGGTCTTAGATCACTTGCCATCAATGTCAACTGTCTCGGTTGTGAGCAGGGCCTTCCGAGCCTCCATACGTGATCAATCATCGACCACCGCTGCTCATGAGCTTCCATCGCACTTTCAAGGCCTACCTACCAACCCGGCGTCAACCATCTCTTTGACGCCTCACACTGATGCCATAATGGTTCAGAAACAAGCCCGAACTTTTACTCGACCATCTCGAAATCATTGTTCCAGCCTCATCAAGGATAATCAGCGGTGTTTCGTTCGATCGATCTTATTGCCCATCACCGATCAAAAGCACCTGGTGCTCAATGACACATTGCGCGTGTTGGTTCCGATCGCACCCGACGTGACCACCTCGCACTTTCTCCACGCCACTGCACGCCTTTGTCGCGCAGCTGCCCGATTCAGAGGCATAAATCAGTGAGACTCAGCCGCGGGGCGGAGTTTGACGTGAATCCCTCGCGCTGCCATGGCTCCTCACTTTGAAACGGTCAAGGTGTGTCCGGCTGGCTCCGACACACGCACAGAAAAATTACCTCGGTCTGAGCGTCGTCACTAGTCTTTCGCCGATGTGGAACGAAAGGATCCGATGAGGTCGATACGGAAGGATTTCTGCTAGCGTCAGATGGGCTAGTCGACATGTTCGGTGAGCGAATTCGTTGAATGCCCGACCATTGACAAGACGTCGCATGCGCGCCAGACCTGCTCGGTGCCGGGGTGTTCTCATTCGTCCAGATCGATCTTCGAAACAACATTGCTGTCAGTGATGAATCCTTGCGGAATGGTTATTGAGCAAGCATCCATCGAACAATGCAGGGCGTGCGCCAGCGATACGAATCCCACGCCTCAAACTCGACTAGCTTGGAGGACCTTGTACGTAACGAGCATGCGGAGGGGCAAAGGACCCCGCTGCCTGCCTGACGCGTCTGATTCGGTGCGTTTGCTGCAAGCACCCGTTGTTGCCTCGCACTGATGACGTGGTCCAGGGGTCTGGCATTCACGTGCCTCGCGCTCCAGAAGACGCAGTCCGAACCGTCCTGCGCCTTGCATGTGTGTTTTCGGCGCGCTTACGATGTCGTTCTCAAGCACCATCACACTTTCCTCGTGCGCTCTGTGGTGACTGTAAGCCGTCAGTCAGTCAATCCACCTCGCGCTTATGTGGATGCATGTGTGTGATACAGATCGCCATCCGTGCTGTGCCTCGCCGGGACCAGTTCTACGCCGCGTTGTGCCAGGGCGAGGATCGCGAGAAGTTTGAGCAGGAGCTGAGAAGGTGGCTCGACGGGCTGGAAGGGATCGTCAAGCAGACCAAGTTGTTTCTGGAGGACGGGGGGTATGGCCGGGTCTGATGTGTGCTGGTATTCCTGTTTCGACAGTATCAAAACATGACCGGATGGAGACAGTCAGGATTCGAGTCCTCGATTCTGAATCCCTCATAGGACGGAAATCCCGATTGCTGATTGCTAAAATATCACCAAAGCAGAGGAGTGTGATCATTGCTTCTACGAAAAGATTCGATCGGCCCCCGCGAGAAGGAATAACTCAATCGAAAACCAGTTCCAATCTGTGCGTCACGAAATTGCAGCCCTTGCATTCCACGTGAAGTCGAGGAGTTGTGACCGGCTTCCGAGGGCGGCAAGTCCGCCAGAAGCAGGCTTCGCCCAAGAGAGCTCATTCCTGTGTGGCCGTCGAAATAGGATCGAGATCGCCCAAGGATTTGGCGCCTTCTTCACTGAGGTCAGGATTATAAACTCGCCACTCGCCGACACTCATTGAGCATTAACGCCTCGCAGTCCTGTAGTTATGCGGTTCTTTCACTGGCGCCGCCAGCTTCGGCCAACCAGATGTGAGATATTGCAGCTTCTTTGCGACGGTCAAGATTGGGAAGCGCAGTACCTTCCCCGAAGAAAATTGAGATGGTGAAGTATGGAGGCTCAGAGCATCGCGCTTTTTAGCGAGTGTCGGGCATCACGTCCGCATGATTGATTGAAGATCGGACGTCGGTCCGCAGGACCCCGGCGACTCAACAAATGATCGTTCAGTACAACCTGACTACATTCGTCGCACACTAGCGCTGTGCTACGAACCTGTTTGTTTAAAACAAACAATGAAAAGCGAATAAAAACATGTTTTAAACACTAGAAAGCGTCGGCTCCGCCGACATTCTGCCTTGCTATTTGATATCAAAATTAATTCTAATTTTTTCTTTGATATGGGCAACTACGACGGGTCGAACTCGAGACCGACTGGGAGAGGAACGGAACAGCGGGGGAAGCCGGGTCCGACAAAATCGAGCCAATTATGAGGGTGGAGAAGCCTTGACAAGCAAGGCAATTAATAGCAAGGCTTGGGTCAAATCTGCCTGCTATTAATTACTATAAACCAATCCACAACTCAGACACTGCATTGACAAGATTATTGAAAGCAACCCAGCACATGAGATGGCCAACAAAGGGTCCTGTCATTTTGCGCACATTGGGCATCCTCTGAAGTGGTTTCTCTCGCATTCTCATAATCCTCCAAAGTGGGGGAAGATAAACATGACAAGCCAGCCAAATTATTTTGCTTTGATGGATCCTGCCCTCTAGCCCTCTTCACTCCTCATGTAGCCTTGGAACCCGTGGAATAATTGCCGCTAATCAGACTAGGCTCAAAACCCAGTGCGTCAATTGTAGAACCATCTTGGAACTGGACAGAAACAGCCCAGTACCTGGGCAAGACCAAAGGACAAGTGATCAGCTACAGTAAGTGGACAAAATGATTGACTGATCAGTTCTCGTTGATTAAAAATGGCCTTTCCAGGCTCTTAGAGCTCATATCATCTTAGGGTCTCTAGAGACAAAATGTAGCCTTGGGCCTATAGAATACTCCACTGAACCCCTGAAGTTGTTGCAAAATTATTTGTAGAGATATACTACCAATTATCAATGACTGGTTTTACAATAAAGACAACATTTTGCTTCTGTGGCCAGCCTTGAGTCCTGATTTCAATATCATCTAGCACATGTAGGACCCTCTCAAACATATAGTGAAAGGTCAGCACCCACTGCCATCAAGCAAGGAGGATTCCAGGCAGGGGTGGGGGCATTTGAACATGGACAAGATTTTCATTTAGTACACTGTAATTTAGAGTTCTAGATATTCTACACATGGAAACTGATACTCTTAAGGTGCATTTCATTCCAATTGACCCTTGGACAATATCAGCTCTGTGAGCCAGGACAATCAAAAAACTGATCAGTCGATCATTTTGTCCACATAGTGTAAGTATATTATCATTACCACTTGGGGTTACCCCTGATAGCCCTAATGAATGTCCAAACTCACTGACATGTGACAATTCAATTGTCTTCTTTATACTTTCTCATTCTCTGGGTCCTATTTTAGCCCATTCCGATGACTTTCGGGTGTCTTGTAGATGCTCAGAAGGGTATGGCTCTTAATCAGTCATTATCTCGCTCTTATCACTCGCATCTCCGAGATCATGGACGTCATGATGTAAATGTGCCTTCGGGACAGTGTCGGCCAGATAGTATCTATTGACGAGTAGCACTTGGTGTGCGACAAATGTAGTCAGGATGTACTGAGCAATCATTTGTTGAGTCGCCGGGGTCCTGCGGTCCTACCTCCGATCATCAGTGAATCATTCGGACGTGATGTCCGACACTCGCTAAAAAGTGCGATGCTCTGAGCCTCCATAGTGAAGCCAATTTTTTATATTACCCCGACACTCACAAAACTGAAGCTGATAATATGATGCAAACAGAGCCCAGCTCATCCATGAGCCGGGACACTATGCAAAGTGAATTGAGAACCAAGGAACACCGTGGCATCTTTTGATGATATTCGCGTTGTTGTAAGCAGATTGCAAGGCTGACCATGCCCACAGGCCAGGCTGGGGGCGTCAAAACGGGTCAAGCAGACATTGCACACGGTCAAAAAATGGGAATCAGTCCAGCTCGGTACCGCCTTGACGCATGCATGCTTCAAGGAAGGTAGTCTGGAAACTAGCCACGTGGATGCAAGATCAACTTCAAAATTGTCAATTTGGTGTACGTCACCCTCTTAAATGCTGTGACCGCCCGGTTGCACTGGGCAGCCTCTCATTACCTGGGATATCTCGCTGCATTGATGATCTATGGAAATTGAGCAGGAAGGGATGAATTCTCTATGCGTGCTCGCAATCAGTGTATCGCAGGAGTTCCATAACCAAAAGGTTGAAACAGCATGCATGAGTCAGCTTAATGAGCTCAGCAGAACCTTCGGAGATTGAACACACCATGCGGCTGAGGCTGACAATGATTGTGTTGAGTATACCACCCAACAGTCAAGCAAAAAGAATTATTGCGGGAAAAGAAGTTTCAGCATGCGATAGAAATGAATACTTTTTGCTCGCGCTCACACTGACCAGATGAGTGGTGAACATCTTGATTCCACACTTCACATCCCTGAGCTGCTGACACAAGCATCTGGTTGTGGTCTTTTCTCAGCTTCAAGCAGACTCTCATCTATGCCCCTTGCAGCTCAGAGCAGATACAAAAGAGTGGTAAGGCCCAGTGTACATAGCAAATTTCTTGATGGCTCTATGGTTTGCTACACCGCTTCATTACACTCAGATGAGGCTCCTTACAAAATATTCCAGTGCAGTGAAATTCTGAGGGCGCGCTCACAGGTGAATCTACTGTGAAAGTAAACCCGAATATAAACGCGTTCACACTCCTCGTAATCAGCTTCTCAGTGTGTGAAAGATGCAAGGGCTTCGGGTGGACAGAGCACCAGTATCACAACTCTCAATAGACGCGGGATCCAATAGTCGCGTAAGACGAAGTTGACGACAAGAATTTATATATAGTAAACAATGGTGTCTCAATGTGACGGAAGCAATAGTACTCGAGTTCCGGCACAAGAGCAATCCGCGCGCTAACTGGAATAGCACTAGATTCACTCAAAAAAACTAACTATCTACTTCTACCTACTTATATACTGTTGATCGATATGACTAAGATTGATTGATGGCCGGGTTCGGACAATTATCTAAGCTGAATGACACATGTAATTGAACTCCGTTACACCCGCCCTCCAGCTCGTCGCTCCGGCGAGCTACCCTTGCTCCTCAGCCATCTCAGCATCAGCGACATCGGCTGGAACACTGGCTGCGACGGCCCGCTGTGCCCGGGCGTCCTCAATGTGTTTGTGACGCTTAGCAATGGCTACGGCGGAGTTGAGGTACCCCACTGAGTCGGCAGCGTCCTGGCTGGCCTGCTGTTCGGCCATATGACGCTCCCGGGCCTTGCGTTGGGCTCGGTCGCGCCCGATGATGGCCTCGCGGCCGTCTTCATACTCAGCACGGCTGATGGTTACCATGTCGGGATCCCGAGTGGGTTCAAGACGCGCATCCGTGACCAGCGCTTCACGGAGACTGGGGATGTGTCCCGCTCCGTAAACCAGGTCGCCGTCGCTGGCCCAGGTGGCGAAGGCCCACCCTTGTGGGTCTCTACCATTAGCGGCCAAGGCCACCTCACGGGTCCCCGCCGGCTTGAAGCCGTGGGTGAGTGGGTCGACATCGGGGTCATGAACCGCCTGGTGAGTCGTTAGCGAATCACTACACCCTGAACTGACGTCTGCCTGCTGTACCTGGTTCCACAGGATGATGTGTTGCAGCTGATGGGCGTCCAGGACGCGCTCGAGGACGTTGTCAGCGGCCGTGGTCACTGAAACCACAATCGTCCGGGGGTCAGTGAACGGAAACGTGCCTTCGTGTTCCTGGTTGAACCGCCGATGCTCTGCCGACAGGACGCCCGCTTCGACATCGTCAGGGTGCACCACTCCGAGGAAGGTGCGAGGGGTGAAGTGGACCATAGTTGGGGACTTGCGGTGCGCAGAGAGGTGTGTGAGGAAATCTGGTTTCCTCCCTCCTCGCGGCTTTTGACTCTCAGCGGCGGAAACCGGCTCCCACAACACACAGGAGACTTGCAATTCGGAGAATTCGGGCTCAGAACGCAGCCCTCGGGTCAGACCGCCGATGTCTGTTGAAGCTTGTTTGTATTAGCGACTATCACAGTATGTAGACATGACATCATATGTAGTATCTTTAGATTATTTGGCTCGCTCCACAATGACCTCATACCTGACCTCATTATTGCGTCATCCATTACTCATCTATGATATCACTACTCCACTATGACATCATGATATCTGCTCCAGACTGGTATATAAACCTAGTACTATACGCTCCATATCCTCAGCTCTGTGTCTTCTACACTCGCTGAGGTATGCATACTCCCTTATGATCTCTTACGACTCATACTCATGACTTGTACCTAGACTCTGTCTCTATAGGTACTGCTAATGTTAGCTCTGTGTCTTCTACACTCGCTGAGACTCTGTCTCTATAGGTGATTGCTACTGGTCGTATCTCCACTGCGCGGTATTGTCTGCGACAGGTTATGGGCCCCGCCTGAACCACTAGTGGCAAATCAAGAAACATCGAACTACTCCCTTGACTAAGGCGAGTATCTTTCACTCGTTCAGCCCTTCTAGAGCGCCGTCTTTGTGCGCTCGTCCCACTTGCTGGATGTCGGTCCTCGCATTTGTGCTCTCACCCTCTAGGGGTTACGCGAGCGGCGTCAGGGAGTCATTCAGTTGGCAGACGCGCCGTTAGCTATTCCGTCCATGATTGCTCGCGCGCGTTTTACGTTACATCTTTTTATTGTACAGCGGACATACCCACCAGGCACTGGTCCTTTGGTCAATCCCACTCCTGAACCTTGCGCGAAGCGCCTAGGTGGTGTGGTAGCTCTCAACAGCTGCTGGAGGTCAACCCCTCCGCCAGGCAAAACAATCCTTCGGGGTTGACTCGCATTCCTCACAAGGGACCCTGCGGGCTGGTGACACTACGAGGATTCATGCAATGACGCTCTGCGTGTATGCATGTCTTTAAAAGGGAGAAGATGGGCGGCCAAACCCGGTGCTTGGGACGGCCTTGGGCACGTGTCCCTTGGCCAGTGACGGACTGCGAGGGCAGTAATCACCGTCGGGTACTGCCGCCGCTGACGTATATAGTTACGTTACTTTGATACAAATATGGGCACTTACTATACCGCTTTATTTCGTTATCATTCCACGCGCGTATATGGGCATCATGGATGGGATGGGGACGCTTGGTCGTTCTCGTTTCAGAGATTTGGCACTCGGGATTTTGTTTCTTGGTCTGCGGAGAATCTGGGGCTGACTTTGTCGCTCTAGTCTTCATCTCTATCACCCTGTCATCACCAAACGATCCTCCTGTTGGGGTTGTCCTATACCCTGTTAACTCTTGGACGACTTTCGGACACTCCTATCCTCCAATCGAATCCATCACCGGTGACATCTATCGGGTTGGTGATATCGACAATCAGAACAGTGATCAGGCGCAAGGAAATTTCACCGTCGCGCTTTGTCTTCTGTTTGGAGATCCTCCATACGTCGAACCTACTTTTCTCCACCACCACATCGTCGACATCATCGAATTTCTTCCCACAATGTCCGGGATAGAAAAGCTCAACAATTCCATCCTGAGCGTCTTTGACGGCACAAATTGGAACACTGGGTCGGACAACTATATGAGCATATGCATGCACCAGGGCACTTGGGGGGTTGTGAAACCCTCTTATATCACGGTTAACGGTACACCAGCTGCAAACATCGGTGCAGTCGAACATCCTTCCACTGCTGGGGACTCCCAGAATCAATGGGACGTTGCCAATGAAAAAGCACTGGGTCTTGCGCGGGTTTACATCACTCAGAATTTGCGCAAGGGAATCTTTATGGACGGTCAGCGGGAGCGCACTGCGCGCGAAGTTTGGGCGAAAATGGCGACAGATTATGGCCAACCAAATGCCATCGATGCTTTCGTCGAGTACCGCCTCCTGAACACCACCACCTTCCATGGTGGTGACACCATTGAAAAACAAATCATGGAAATGGAGACTCGTCGTCACCAGTGTTCAGAAGGAGGAATCGAGATCCCCGACTACCTCTTTGTGACTCTCATGCTCGCCGCCTTGCCCGCTTCCAGCAGAGGTTTCGTCACCTCTTATCTGGCCAATCGTTCTATTGGATGCATTGATTGACAGAAAGAGATCAATGCATCGTCTTGTGATGGAGAGGTCGAGGAGCAGAAGGTGGCTGTGAGCTCAATCTCTCTCCTCTCACACACCTGCTGAGAATCTCGACCTCGATACCATCACCTTTCTGAGCTCTTTGTGACTCTCATGCTCGCCGCCTTGCCCGCTTCCAGCAGAGGTTTCGTCACCTCTTATCTGGCCAATCGTTCTATCGCTTCCTTGAACCCGGTCGATGTCAAGAACAGTGTCATTGGGAATATCAAGATCAAGAACCTCGACACGGCGTTGAACTCGAAGATTTCCACCGTTCTGTCCCTCGCCACCCGCTGCACTCATTGTAACAAGTCCGGTCACGTTGCGGCATCCTGCTACAAGAAGTATCCCAACCTCAAGCCTACTGGTCAATCTTCTGACAAAGGCAAGGGGAAGCAGGATGAGGGGAAGAAGAAAAAGAAGAAGGAGAAGAAGAGTGGTGATGGTACTAGCGCTGTAAAAGAAGTTGTAGCCGCTCCCGCGGTTGCAGCTGCCTCCAATGGAATGCACATTTTGTCCTATCTCATGAGTGACTCCCTCAAACACATCGATGATGGTATTTTTGTTGAAGAAATGGGAGACGACTCCAAAGTTCGTTTTCTATGGGACTCGGGTTGTACGCATCATATGACAAACACCCGATCCGATCTTCACAACATCAGACCTATCGACACTTATGTAGTCGTTGGGTCGGGAGCTCGCTTCAAGAATGAAGCCGTTGGAGATATTGTGTTGCGGGGTCATACTAGTAGTGGCATGGACTACACCTTCACGCTGAAGGATGTCATCTACAACCCGCACATAAGAGGGCGTTACCTTTCTGGGTATGCACTCGATCAGGCTGGTTACTACACCGTGGTTGGTGACAACAAGGCAATCCTAGTCATCAAGGATTGGCTCAACAAGGGAAAAGCGCATGGGGATGTCTTGATGACGTTTAAAGCTAGCAATCGCTGCTACTGGTACTACCCCGAGGAGCTCGTGGCACCGTCTGTGTCTGCATCTCACGAGTCTACCGCGCTCGCTTCCCTGGAAACTACCGATCGTGAATTGTGGCATAAGCATTTTGGTCATGCGGCTCGGAGGACCCTCACTCACTTGCCGACACAAGTTGAAGGTGTTCCCCCCTTGCGACACAATAAGGACCAGTGCGGTGAAATGCTGAGGGCGTGCTCAAAAGTGAATCTACTATGAAAGTAAACCAAAATATAAACACGTTCACACTCCTCGTAATCAGCTTCTCAGTGTGTGAAAGATGCGAGGGCTTCGGGGTGGACAGAACACCAGTATCACAACTCTCAATAGACGCAGATCCAATAGTCGCGGAAGACGAAGTCGACGACAAGAATTTGTATATAGTAAACAATGGTGTCTCAACCAATATCTTCTATACGAACACAACCAACACTAATCCAATCCACAACCAACAATATAACAAGTCAGAACTTAATACGAAGTATTAAGATCCCTTGTAGCGACAGCGTCTAGATGGTGACGCAAAGCCCAAATACCAAGTCGACGCACTGCCAACCAATACAACCAATATACTGAGTCGACGCACTGCCAACTAGTAGAACCAAAATGTCGAGTCGACGCACTGCCAACTAGTAAACCAAAATGCCGCGTCGACGCACTGCCAACTAACAGCCAATATCCAATGTCCAAAACCCAAGCACAACTTGTCGACGCACTGCCAAGCAAGAAGTGTGGAACCAAAGTTCTCAAGTCGACGCACTGCCAACTGACCAAAACAACCCGAGCACAACTAGTCGACGCACTGCCAAGCTAGAGGTGTGGAAACAATCTCAACAAAGCCCAAAGGGCGACGACACTAAATGCCGCGACTAAACCAGATGCGGCGAATCCGACTTTCTGATTTCTCAACTCAAAACTCAAATCACAGTAGCTACAAGTGCTCAGGGAGCAACTTGTCGCGACCGGGCAGGGGTAGCAGAACTTCTTAGGGTGGAATCACGTGGCACGCAAATTGTACAAAACAATCTGAAATGAGAGTGATTCACAGTCTGGGGGAAAGCTTTCTAATACAAAGAAACGACGTGCTACTTATACTGTCTACGACGGTGCTTAGTAAAGTCCTGTACAACTGCATAGTAGCTACGCTATCTAAGATCAGTTTCCTTTTAGAGTAATTGAAAAGTTGGACGATCGGACAGGTCCTGAGTGATCAGGACCCCGCCCCATTGTCCATATGATACCTTCGATGTGGGTCAACCCGCCGCGTCATACTTTTGGAATACGACGTGTTGGATTGGCCAACGGGTATGTCTTGGCAAGTGAGACCAACGTGGGCGTCCCAAGAAGCCGTATGGCCCTAGGCACGCCAGTCGTCCCAAGAAGCCGTATGGCCCTAGGCACGCCAGTCGTCCCCCACATGGTTCGGTTCACGGATCTAGCCGTGTCGATTTTAGTGTGTTTGGGTATGGACGCGACTCGCCGTGACACTTGGAAGTGTCACCGCGACGCGTCCACAATGTCCCGTGATCGAATGGATCCTGACATGTGACAAGTCGTCGTCGTGGCATGATCTGAGGAAACGTCCAACTCAAGACCGGGAGTTGCCGCGACAAGATTGGTTCGATCTCGTAACGTCAAGTCCTGTCCAGTCGTAGTCGTATTATTGAGAACGTCGTACATTGCTCAGCCCTTCAGCCCAAGTATCCATCTGCAGAGAATGACCCTTTTTGAGAAGTCGACGCAACAACAGATCCCTTTTTGGGGAATGGTCGCGGTCCGAGTGTTCGTCACTAATGGCCCTGAGCCTGGTGTAGACTCATAAGACCAATTCCACAGTAGTGGTCTGACTGCCTTGCTATCGTCGACACTATCCACAGTCGTCGACTGGGCAGTAGACCCTTAAGTCCTACTGAGCGCAACACTGTCAACCGCGACACGATACACCGAGTGGTTCGAGAGTAAACTCTGTAAAAAGCGCAAAAATACGCCCTTGCAGAGTTGGTGCAGAGCGCGTCTGGTAGCCAGCCTATCAGCGGCATGTGCGATGGATGTATGCTTGGAAAACAGCACAAGCATCCGTACCCTGCATCAGAGAAACGTGCTAGCAAACCCCTCGAGCTTATCCACACTGATTTGATGGGCCCCTGGCCTACTCAGTCGTTGGAAGGTTCACGCTACACAATTTCGTTCTATGATGATTTCTCGAGCTCTGGCATGATGGTGTTCATTAAATCAAAGGACCAAGCCTCTACCGCCATCAAAAACTTTGTTGCCCTTGTAGAGCGTCAGCTCGGCACAAAAGTACTGGCCTTCCGGTCAGATCGTGGAGGTGAATATATGTCCGATGAACTCACAGCCTGGCTCAATGCACGTGGTATTATGCACCCTAAGTCCGCGCCACGCGAACCACAGCAAAATGGGAGGTCTGAACGTTGGAATCGCACAGCCCACGAGAAAGCGGAATGCATGCGCCTCGATGCCGGCCTATCCAAAGGCTTCTGGCAATGTGCTATGGATGCATCTGTCCACGTTCATAATAGACAACCTATGGCACGATTGGGATGGCGAACACCTGCGGAACTGTGGCTTGGAAAGAAGCCAGACGTCTCTTATTTCCGTGTGTTTGGATGCAAGGCGTCTCTCTATGTGGATGTTGAAAAACACCCGAAAGGGTTGGAGCATGGACGCCCCGACCACATCTTCGTTGGATACGAACGAGAGACAAAAGCTTGGAAAGTGTGGGATCCGAATCAACGCAAGATACGAGTCTCTTCAAATGTTGAGTTCGATGAGCGAGTATTCCCTGCCAAGTCCAAGCTAGTCACTGGCAAAGTGTCCTCTGGACCGGAGCCGTTCACACCATTTGAGGAAACCTTCCCTGACCTTATCAATAATCCTGCACCTGCAACGCCTTATGCAAGCATACCACCTCCTGCTCTCCCACCGCCACTGGCACCCCTCGCGCAACAAGGTCCTGTCACGGGATCGCGAGAAGTACCCCTCATGCCTGGCCCGATAGACGATCGCCCGATTGCACATCGCCACCCTCGTCGAAATAAGCCCCGCATTCTGCCGGATGGAACTACGTATCAGAGGCCTAGCAGCATTGAGTCCATGTTATCAGCTGCCCAAGCTGAACATGACTTGCCTCAAAACGTACGGGACGTAGCAAAGAGCCCGGATGCACTCAAGTGGGAGCGCGCAATGCGCGAAGAACTGGACTCTCTCGAGGAAAACTGTACTTGGGATTTGACCAGCCTTCCACGCGGTCGAAAGACTGTCAAATGCAGATGGGTGTTTAGCAGGAAGCGTGACAGTCGTTTCAAAGCACGACTTGTTGCCAAGGGATTTACTCAGGTTCATGGGTTTGACTATGATGAGACCTTCTCGCCAGTATTGCGCTATGAATCTCTGCGCATACTTATGGCTCTGGCTGCTCTCGAAGATTGGGAGATTCATGCCATGGATGTCAAAACGGCATTCCTAAACGGGGATCTGGAGGAAGAAATCTATATGGAACTTCCGGAATTACCCAAAGGTTTCTTGTCATGGCCAAAAGAAAAGGTGGCACGCCTTCGTAAATCACTCTATGGGTTGAAACAGGCATCTCGTCAGTGGAATATCAAAATCCACAATGCCCTCCTCGAACTTGGTTTTGCTCGGACATACTCTGACGCCGGTGTCTACACATATTGCCAACAAATGGGAGATACGGTCATCATCTTGGTGCTGTATGTTGACGATATGCTCATTATGGGCAACAATCTGCCGGAGATAGCGCGGATCAAATCATTGCTCGCGAACCGCTTCAAAATGACAGATCTTGGTCCTGCAAAGGATTTCCTTGGTCTGAACATAGTTCGTGATTGCAAAGCGCGTAAAATCTGGATCGATCAGGCTTCCTATATCGAAGGAGTTCTAGAACGTTTGCGGATGTCTTCTTGCAAAGAATCTTGTACTCCCCTGCCTTCCAGCATTGTGCTCGAGAAGCATGATGGAGAAGTTGATGAAGACTGTTGTACCCGTTACCAGCAGCTGATTGGCAGTCTTCTCTACGCAATGCTTGGTACACGCCCCGACATTGCCTATGCAGTCATCCGTCTTTCAAAGTTCAACAGCAACCCGTCAGAACATCATTGGAACATGGCAAAATACGTACTCCAGTACCTTCAAGGCACCAAGCACTACCAACTTTGCTATGATGGTTCCACTGGCGCAGGCCTTATCGGTTATTCCGATGCTGATTGGGCGGAGAACAAAGACGACAGGCATTCCACCACGGGATATTCCTTCTTCATCGCCGGTTGTGCAGTGACCTGGGTTTCTAAATGCCAACCCACGGTTGCTTTGTCCTCAACAGAGGCCGAATACATGGCTCTGAGCGATGCTACACGCCAGATTGCCTGGATCTGCACTTTGTTGACTGAGCTCGGATATGACTTGCCATCCACACCTCTTTGTGTTGATAACCAAGGCGCTATCTTTATGGCAGTAAATCCGGTTCATGATAGGAGGACAAAGCACATCGACATCCGCTATCACTTCGTACGAGAATCCGTCGAAGCTGGCAATGTCCAACTTTACCATGTGCTGACTGATGCGATGATCTCAGACACGCTCACAAAGTCTTTGGCATGGGTGAAGTTCCAACAACATCGGCTGTCTTTGGGTCTTCGTGATCTGACTGTTTAGTCGAGTGGGAGTGTTGAAGCTTGTTTGTATTAGCGACTATCACAGTATGTAGACATGACATCATATGTAGTATCTTTAGATTATTTGGCTCGCTCCACAATGACCTCATACCTGACCTCATTATTGCGTCATCCATTACTCATCTATGATATCACTACTCCACTATGACATCATGATATCTGCTCCAGACTGGTATATAAACCTAGTACTATACGCTCCATATCCTCAGCTCTGTGTCTTCTACACTCGCTGAGGTATGCATACTCCCTTATGATCTCTTACGACTCATACTCATGACTTGTACCTAGACTCTGTCTCTATAGGTACTGCTAATGTTAGCTCTGTGTCTTCTACACTCGCTGAGACTCTGTCTCTATAGGTGATTGCTACTGGTCGTATCTTCACTGCGCGGTATTGTCTGCGACAATGTCCTCGACCCCTTTCGACTCGAAATAGTCTTGGAGAACGTTGAGGCGGCTCAACGGCTCGTAGGGCATCCAGGTGACGTCTCCCGACTTCCACTCCACTTCGAACAGCGCTTTCCGGCGACTGCCTACGTGACTCAGAACCCACTCTACTGCCCATTCAGGTTCCTAATTGGCATCAGCCACATTCAGGTTCCGAATTGGCATCAGCCACATTCAGCTGATTTTCGAGACGTCCAGGGAACCTCCAATCGTCGTTCGGGACGTGTATCCGAAGAAGGGATGCGTGAAACACCGGGTCAAGGCCCCTTTGCTTCAGATTAGGGGGCAAGTCTATCTCAAAGGACAAATTACCGAAGTCTCTCGTGATCAGGTACGGGCCCACAAACTTCGGTATCAATTTACACGCTAATCCTTTCTCGAATTGCTGTAAGGGCAACTCCTGCCAGCCTGAAGGAAGAGAGCACACAGCACACAACAACCTCACATGAGTCTGAGCACAGAGGGGGATCCTTAGAGACTATCAAATACAAGGGAGGTATACTACTCACCTGAGCACAGAGGGGGATCCTTAGAGAACGGTTCAAGGATCCATGTGCCCAGGTGTCACACTATATAGTCAGCTGTGACAAGTGACTGATGATGATGGGATATCACTGCCATGGAACAATGGCAGATGACAAGTAGATAATGACAAACCCAGATAAGATAGTGAGTGGCTCAGAGGGGCCAGTGATGGCCAGCTCCTGAGACACCAACAGTGGAAGGCCACACTGGAGGAGCCCAGCGGCCAGGCCAGTGCCGGGCCGGCCAGTGGAGACATTGGAGGCGAGGACCAATGGCCCAACTGGGAAGAGGGGTGGTGCGGATGAGCGCAAGGGCATCTGGTACGAGCCTGTACGGCAGTAGACCACATCCGCGGGGAGAAGGCCGAAGTGAAGGGGGAGGAGTGCATACGGCAGTAGCACTCCCTGGTGCAAGGAATCGGGCTTGGCTAGACCGCTTGCGGGGATTTGAAGGAGATGGCCGGGGGAAGAAGGGAGAGGGCGGTGATAGGCTGGCTACCAGACGCGCTCTGCACCAGCTCTGTAAGGGCGTATTTTTGCGCTTTTTACAGAGTTTACTCTTGAACCATTCAGTGTATCGTGTCGCGGTTGACAGTGTTGCGCTCAGTAGGACTTAAGGGTCTACTGCCCAGTCGACGACTGTGGATAGTGTCGACGATAGCAAGGCAGTCAGACCACTACTGTGGAACTGGTCTTATGGGTCTACACCAGGCTCAGGGCCATTAGTGACGAACGCTTGGACCGCGACCATTCCCCACAAAGGGATCTGTCGTTGCGTCGACTTCTCAAAAAGGGTCATTCTCTGCAGATGGAACTTGGGCTGAAGGGCTGAGCAATGCGCGACGTTCTCAATAATAGAACTACTACTGGACAGGACTTGGCGTTACGAGACTTAAACCATCTTGTCGCGGCAACTCCCGGTTTGGAGTTGGACGTTTCCTCAGATCATGCCACGACGGCGGCTTGTCACATGTCAGGATCCATTCGATCACGGGACATTGTGGACGCGTCGCGGTGACGCTTCCAAGTGTCACGGCGAGTCGCGCCCATACCCAAACACACTAGAAACCGACACGGTAAGATCCGTGAACCGAACCATGTGGGGGACGACTGGCGTGCCTAGGGCCATACGGCTTCTCGGGGCGCCCACGTTGGTCTCACTTGCCAAGACATACCCGTTGGCCAATCCAGCACGTCGTATTCCAAAAGTATGACGCGGTGGGTTGACCCACATCAAAAGTATCATATGGACTATGGGGCGGGGTCCTGATCACTCAGGACCTGTCCGATCGTTCAACTTTTCAATTACCCTAAAAGGCAACCGATCTTAGATAGCGTAGCTACTATGCAGTTGTACAGGACTTTACTAAGCAGCGTCGTAGACAGTATAAGTAGCACGTCGTCTCTTTGTATTAGGAAGCTTTCCCCCGGACTGTGAATCACTCTCATATCAGATTGTTTTGTACAATTTGCGTGCCGCGTGATTCCACCCTAAGAAGTTCTGCCACCCCTGCCCGGTCGCGACGAGTTGCTCCCTGAGCACTTGTAGCTACTGTGATTTGAGTTTGAGTTGAGACATCAGAAAGTCGGATTCGCCGCATCTGGTTTAGTCGCGGCATTTAGTGTCGTCGCCTTCGGGCTTTGTTGAGATCGTTCCACACCTCTAGCTTGGCAGTGCGTCGACTAGTTGTGCTCGGGTTGTTTTGGTCAGTTGGCAGTGCGTCGACTTGAGAACTTTGGTTCCACACTTCTTGCTTGGCAGTGCGTCGACAAGTTGTGCTCGGGTTTTGGACATTGGATATTGGCTGTTAGTTGGCAGTGCGTCGACGCGGCATTTTGGTTTACTAGTTGGCAGTGCGTCGACTCAGTACTTTTGGTTTTGTCAGTTGGCAGTGCGTCGACTTGATATTTGAGCTTTGCGTCGCCATCTGGACGCTGTCGCTACAAGGGATCTTAATACTTCGTATTAAGCTCTGACTTGTTATATTGTTGTTTGTGGATTGGATTAGTGTTGGTTGTGTTCGTATAGAAGATATTGGTTGAGACACCATTGTTTGCTATATATAAATTCTTGTCGTCGACTTCGTCTCCGCGACTATTGGATCTGCGTCTATTGAGAGTTGTGATACTGGTGCTCTGTCCACCCCGAAGCCCTCGCATCTTTCACACACTGAGAAGCTGATTACGAGGAGTGTGAACGTGTTTTATATTTGGGTTTACTTTCATAGTAGATTCACTTGTGAGCACGCCCTCAGCATTTCATCTGGAGCCCACCGCGAGGGGCTTCTAAAGTTTCATAAACTTTAAAAATCAATAAACCGGGTTCTTTACCGCGACGTCGGATAGAGACCAAGGGTTTATCCCGCGAAGCAGTTTATTTCGATCCCAAGCTCCTGCGCGACCTCTCGAGGACCAAGCGGAGATTGAGACTGAAGGAAACGCTTCAACCTCAGGACCTTTCGAAAAACCACGAAGGTCTGCAAGACATAAAACACCTTTGTATCTACCACCCTTGCCTTCCAAGGCAAAAGGAAAACAAAGAGTGAATTCGACGTCGAAGCTTCCAGCTTTAGACACAGCTACTTCGAGTTCGACGACAATCAGTCGATCTCAGACTAGCTCACAAACCCTCTCAGAATTGTCAAGTAGCGTCACCGCTACAAACACGAATTCTAACAACATCCCTACTTCCCCTGTGACTTCAGTCGCGACAACTATGGCTCCAAAGACTGGGTTCAAAATCCCTCAACCTTGGGACACAAGTAGACCTATACTTGATGAAAAGGATCCTCTGTCGATTGAGGCATATTTGCGTCACTGCGCGCAGATCGTGGAGGATGGTGGCATCACAGATGTCAAACAGGCAAAAAGCATGTACATCCGTTATTTGCCGTCGCGGCAAGTGATGGACGTATGGGAAGGTCTCGATACCTATTCCGACGACACGAAAACTGTCGCGGAATTCGAGGCCGAAATATTAAAAGGATACCCTGAGGTGTCCAAGCGAAAAACGGGGACCATGGCAGATCTAGACAGGCTCTGTCGCGAGAACCGTGGAATCAAAATCACGGATGAGGGAGATTTGAAGCGTTTCGGCCTTCAAATGTATAGTCACTACAAGCGACTGTCAGTCCCTCCTGCCATTATCACCAACAAAGTCGCGTGTGAACGCTACATGCGTACTTTGGACTCTGAGTTCAGTACCGTCTTGCGAAATGCTTTGGCTACGAGTCAGGTATTCAACAAGCGCTACCAAACTCGCGCCGGGATAGTGAACGCTAATGTCCCCGCGACTGGAGTCAATCGGCAGGACGACCCCATCCAGTTGAAAGAACTAATGACAATGGCGGAAGAAATGGCGTCGACGTTGAGCAACGAAGACGAAATTCCCATAATCGCGCGACCTCCCAAGGTTCGTTTCGACTATGAGACTAGTCCACCCAACCATGCTAAGGTTGAGGAGTTGGAAAACTCGATTTCCAACTTGAAGGATTCATTTCTTCTACACCAAAAAGAGCTACAGACTCAGTTGCAGGAAGCGCTGAAGACGTTCGTACAGACTGCTCGCGAAGCGCCCATACAGCGGTCGCGGCCAGTAGGCAACAACTCTTCTGTGCCCCACTTTGAAAGTCGCGCACAAGGAGGAGCTGCCGCACGGAACGACGATTGTCGCTACTGTGGACAAACTGGTCATTGGTCGAACGAGTGCCCGCTCAAGAGGTCTCACATTGAGAAAAACCTTCTCAAAGTCGACACCAAAGGGATGTGGAGGCTCTTCGACGACAGTTTCCTACCAAATGGAGAAGGGACTCAGGGACAACGAGTAGAGGCTTACTGGAAGAAGAAGGGCAAATCCGTCAACTTCCAGGACTCCTACTACTTGGATCAGTTCGATAGTCGCGACAATGATGATATGTCCGACTACCCTGAAGAAGTGGCAGATGAGATACGCTCCCTTCGTAGTCAACTCATCCAATATGAGAGGAAGTCGTCGCGGCCAACTCCAGAGAGTCGCGCTGAGCCGAAGACTCAAAGAGCTGCATCTGGTTCAACCAGTAATGCAATGGAAAGCGCCATGGGCCAGTTCATGCAGAAAGCCATGACCGACGCCATGGCCGGCTACTTCAACAACATGAACAGTGGTTATCCTCAGACTCAGGAGCAGTTCATTCAAACCCGTCGTGGTGCGAATAGCCAACCTGAGCGCGACGATAACAACTCGGGTTTCTAAATGGTTCAAGGAAGGGGGCTAAACCCACAAACTCAGCCAAGCCCTCTGAGGACCATGATAAACGAGCTGAGCGACGAGAGAAACCGAGAAAACCTGTGATTATTGAAGAAGTTAGTGATAGCGACGATGATGAGGAATCAGTGCGCGACAACGTCGAAAAGAGAAAGGAACTACCGTTTGAGAAAGTCAAGCCCGTTCTACAAGAACCAGTACATTCTTCAAAAGCGCGCGTTCCAGATAAATACCAGTTGCGTGCACCGATTCAAACGAAGGCTGTAGCAGAAGCAGTCTACGACAAAATGAAAAACGCGTCAGTCGACGTCACTGTGGGTGAACTCCTAGCAGTTTCGGGGACTGTTCGCGACTCCATTCTAAAGGACTCTTCGAAGAAACGAGTACCGGTTCAGAAGTCCATGCTTCAAGAAACTGGTCGCGTCGTTGAAGACGTTTGGGATGGAGAACTGAGCTACAACCTAGTCAGTGCTAAGGAATTGCCCGAGCCTGTGTTCTATCATAACACAGTCGAAGGAGAAATTCCCATTGGCGCAGTTGTCGCGACGGACCCATATGAGATGTACTTGGAGTCGATACCCTCTAATGAGAACCCAAGACATGTCTATGTTGGTGATTCGTCAGCTGCTCTCAGAACAATAAACGGACGGATTAACGCGCGTCTCGACGCGGACTGCATCCTAGA